GATAAAAGGTAAAGGGTAACACTTAATGCCCCTGCTCAAGCTACAAACAAACAATCAAAGCGTGTAAGCGCTGTAAAGGCAGTTAATTACAGGTTGTGTGTATTTTTAGTCCAGTTATGTCATTATCTTGCATAGTACATTGTACTTATCAGAGGTGGCTTTCAGTATTTAAGATTTAGAGTTCTCTAATGATATTGAACAAGTTTTATGAATGTCATATTCTGAGCACTATATGAAGGCGATTGTTCTCACTTGTTTATGAACTAGTGCATTATGTCCAGTTTGTACCTTTTTTATCTATGTTTATAGTCAAATACTGTTTAAAATAGTTTGGCATTTTCTTTTTAGTAATAAGTAAATGTTATCAACTGTACTTACCGTAAGTACAATGTATGGATGATAGTTGTTTCATTGGCAATCATAACACATCTCCTTATTTATATAATGATCTATATTCAACGACCTCGGGTACAAAAAAAATGTATGTAACTAAACTATGATGGGAAACCTTTGACTTCTTTCTTTATATAAACATTTGATTTGGTACCATAGAACTATGTAGAATAAATGTACATTGCAACATGTCAACTCTTTCAATGACAATACTTTTTTTAGAAACTATAACTCCAAGCAAAATTATATTTCCAAGTATAAAGTAATTTATGAATGAAACAAGAGTGCACACGCTGAAATGTCTCGCCTTCTTTACTAATCATTGATATTATGTTGATAGTCCTAAATATAAAGCTTTGTTACAACTGTCACATAAACTTAACATTAACCAAGTAAACTAAACATCGACCAATGAACCAAGAAAATGAGGTCAAGGTCAGATGAACCATGCTAGGCAGGCATGTACAGCTAACAATTCTTCCATACAACAAATATAGTTGACCTATTGCTTATAGTTTAAGAAAAACAGACCAAAACACAAAAACTTAAAACTGAGCAATGAACCTTGAAAATGAGGTCAAGGTAAAAAAAACCTGCGTGACTGACAAATAGATCATAAAATATTTCCATGCACCAAATACCAACTATTGCATATAGTATTAGAAAAAAATTCGTAAGGGTTCCGCGGAACCCAGTGTCTCGCCTACTTTTGGTGTTAATCGCAGGCTCAACAAAAATGAAGAAAAAATTAATAAAAATATTCCCCTCTATACTATGTTTTGATTGTAAGTAGCTTCTGTCCAAGTTTGGTAAAAATCCAGGATAAATTATGAATCTAATAAATGTTTTAAAAACTTAAACTGCAGAATGTATGTAATGTTGACTGGAAGAAAAACTAAGTCCATTTATAAGTAAAATACAGAAAAAATGGAACAAAATTTTATCAAAATTTCCTTCTAGATACTATCTTATGATCATAAACAAGCTTCTTTCCAAGTTTGGTATAAATCCAGGATAGTTTAAGAAAGTTATTGAAATTTCAAAAACTTTAACCACAGAGTGAATGTAATGTTTCCTGGCAGAAAAACTAAGTCCATTTATAAGTAAAATACGGAAAAATGGAATTTTTTTTTTACAAAATTTACTTTTGGATACTATCTTATGATCATAAACAAGCTTCTTTCCAAGTTTGGTAGAAATCTAGGATAGTTTAAGAAAGTTATTGAAATTTTAAAAACTTTAACCACAGAGTGAATGTAATGTTAACTGGCAGAAAAACTAAGTCCACTTATAAGTAAAATACGGAAAAAATGGAATTTTTTTTTTACAAAATTTACTTTTGAATATAATCTTATGATCATAAACAAGCTTCTGTCCAAGTTTGGTAGAAATCCAGGATAGTTTAAGAAAGTTATTAAAATTTCAAAAACTTTAACCACAGAGTGAATATTTGTGGACGCCGCCGACGACGCCGACGGAATGTAGGATCGCTATGTCTCGCTTTTTCGACAAAAGTCGAAGGCTCGACAAAAAGACCAAAACTCAAAAAACTTAACTTTGACCACTGAACCATGAAAATGAGGTCAAGGTCAGATGACACCTGCCAGCTAGACATGTACACCTTACAATCATTCCATACACCAAATATAGTAGACCTATTGCATACAGTATGAGAAAAACAGACCAAAACACAAAAACTTGACTATAACCACTGAACCATGAAAATGAGGTCAAGGTCAGATGACACCTGCCAGTTGGACATGTACACCTTACAGTCCTTCCATACACCAATTATACTAGACCTATTGCTTATAGTATCTGAGATATGGACTTGACCACCAAAACTTAACCTTGTTCACTGATCCATGAAATGAGGTCGAGGTCAAGTGAAAACTGTCTGACAGGCATGAGGACCTTGCAAGGTACGCACATACCAAATATAGTTATCCTATTACTTATAATAAGAGAGAATTTAACATTACAAAAAATCTTAACTTTTTTTTCAAGTAGTCACTGAACCATGAAAATGAGTTCAAGGACATTGGACATGTGACTGACAGAAACTTCGTAACAAGAGGCATCCATATACAAAGTATGAAGCATCCAGACCTTCCACTTTCTAAAATATAAAGCTTTTAAGAAGTTAGCTAACGCTGCCGGCGGATCACTATCCCTATGTCGAGCTTTTGTCGCAGGCTCGACAAAAAGGAGTTCTTAATTAAGAAATAATCTGATTCGCTGAGCGCAGCTGGATACACCTGCAGAGGTCCAACCCTGAACAGTTGGGGCAAAAATGGACACAATATTCAAGCTTGATACAGGTCTGAATTTGGATTGTAATTCAATATTTGACATATTATAGTTTCTGAATAAATGTAGTCAAAGAACTTGAAATCAGTTACATGAATTGAATTTATATTCAATTAAAGATTTCTTGCTGTTGTGCAATACACTGTGCTGTTGCGCAATACTTAATAAATCTGTTGCCAGATTATAAACAAATAAAGTTCAATTTCTTCTCAATGTCATATTTGAAATTTATGAAAATCAATAGGGAGATTACATCAATAGCTATATATAATTCACCAAAATTTCATGCGAACTGCTTAAAGCATTTTTGAGTTGTTGTCCAAAAACTGGAAAATCCCCCCTTTTTTAATGAATAAAACCCCATAACTCAGAAATGTAAAATCTAAAATTTATAAAATTCTAAAGGGAGCTTACGGATTGATAATTTAGTCTTAGATGCAAGGTTTTTTTTATCAGTTGTTAGTGGCTTTGAACTAGCTGTCAGTAAATGCGAGTACTCTCAGATCTGTACTTAGTGTCTTTATGTTGTTTGGATGTACAACTACCCGGCCACGTCCACTTGTATTTGTATTTATCCATCTGATGAGTTAAGCCTCTTTCAACTGATTTTTATAGTTCGTTCTTATATTGTACTGTTACACCACTGTCCCAGGTTAGGGGGTGGGTTGGGATCCCGCTAACATGTTTAACCCCGCCATATTCTGTATGTACATGTACAGTACGGGTAGAGACTTATTACTATAAATAACGGACTGGGACATGTCGGAAATGAATAATCCGACTTTTTTATGGCAGGTAGTATGGTCATTAATCAACAGATCCAGGTGTGAACGGTAATATAATTGTCCTTTCATATCCGTGCTACTAGATTATTACGCTTCACTGATTTCAGAATCAGGTTACCTGTGATTTAAACCTCTCAGTCACTTTATTGATTAGTTCTACATCGTATTTGACATAAAATATTTTTACAGGTGAAGTACTGGAGACAACTTTGTTTTAATAAAAATAGCCTATTTATTTTATTTATGGCTTTTTATATTTCAAATGCTGTTTATATTCCTCAAAATATTATTTTTATGTTCCCTGGGTTTTTTTTGTTTATGCATCTTTTTCGTATTTGTTGGCATACAGTTTTTAAAATATTTTCTTTTTTATTTCTGGAAGGTTATTTTTGTTTTACTGATTTATTTTCCACGTAAACCCACTGAATAGCAGAATGATGTGCAAAGTGCTGCTGCATACGTTTTAGTTTGACAACACTACATTTGTATTTAATTTTCAGTCTGCGTTGGGTCAGTTCTGAAATAAAAATAATTACAGTGAGCAATACTTGTACAAATGTATACTAGTAGTTTGGTGATTCTTTATAATTGTGAATTTAATTTTTACTGTAAACAAATATTGTCCGAAAGTTGGTGATATATAACTAAAGTAGTACGCAAATAATAACACTAGAAGGAGATAACGATTCTTCTCGGGGATTAAGTTTATTTTGATATTTCTGTGTTTGTTAAATATGCATGAAATAATTGCCACTGACATGAATGGACATTAAAACTAGAAGCATTCAATCGTTTGATGACCAGTTAATTAAATATTTACTATGATTTGTAGTCTAAAGAAATGCAATTACTCACATTTAAATAATTTTATGGTGCTGCATTGACTCTTAATTGCATAATATTAATTTACGCACAATGCATGTTAACTTGTATGTTGTATTTTTGTATGTGCCTGTCCCAAGTCAGGAGCCTGTAATTCAGTGGTTGTCGTTTGTTTATGTGTTGCATATTTGTTATTCGTTCATTTTTTGTACATACAGTAGGCCGTTAGTTTTCTTGTTTGAATTGTTTTACATTGTCATTTCAGGGCCTTTTATAGCTCACTGTGCGGTATGTGCTTTGCTCATTGTTGAAGGCCGTACTGTGATCTATACATGTAGCTGTTAATTTCTGGGTCATTTGGTCTCTTGTGGAGAGTTGTCTCATTGGCAATCATACCACATCTTCTTTTTTATATTTACATCAACAGATATAAACAATTCACCAAAGTCAAGGTGAGACAACAAAACTTAGTTGTAAGATCTCTGAAATTTTTTACACGGTACAAGTTTTTCTAATTGTTGGAGATTGCACGGTGACAGTAACACCTGTAACTGCTTAACCCATTTCTTATGCACTTTGGTTCGATAAACTCACTGAATATCATACCACATCTCCTTATTTTTATATGCATTACAATTTACATGTGCATGTAATTGTAAATAATATTTATATATATATATCAGAACAAACTTCATTGCGTCACTTTTATTTATGCATCCTTTGGCACAATACAAGTTCTAAAATTACACAACATAAAACAACTAAATGTTATTTCAGATGAAAGTTTTGTTTCAATTCCATTCATAGGATTTATTAGAATTTTGTATGTTTTGCCAAGTCCAATACTTAGCTCTATCATGTCTATGTGCACGTGTTAATTGGAGACTTTTCTATCCCGTATAAGGCAAAAAAAAAAATATGTCTGTTTACGGTTACCCGACCTACCCTACTTTTGAGCGCCGACCCTAAGTCATTTTATTTCCTTTGTAAAGTGAAAAATAAACTGAACTTGCATAGTTAGTGTTGCAAATGATATAAATCAATTGCCTGATACATCCCAATGTTCACAATCGTGAATATGACAGCGGTTTTAAGGAAATTCGCAACTCGTGTGATGAAATAAACACTTTGCCACCATTTTTTTCCAAGGGAAATAATCCAATCATCAAAAATACGGGTAAACTCGGCCCATGATCAACTCAGACCACGACAAGTCGAAACGGCATGACTCAAAATCATGTCACAAAAAATAAAATGAAAAAATAAAATAAAATGAAAATACCGACCTACCTACCCAATATTTTTAAAGTATGTAACCTTAAACAGACATATTTTTTTTTTGGGGCTAAGAGTTTTGGAACTAATTCTGTTTCTTTTTTTGAAAAAAAGTGAGGAAACAAATCTTGCACATTTAAACCTTTGTCTGCCATCACACTGTCACCTGGATCACATAATTGAACTATTCTACATCTTTCAACTATTTCACAGTCACTGGTACAACCAACATATGCATTAGAGACACAGTTGACTAAACCACCAGGTGTCGAAAACATACAAGTATTTTTAGTGTTTCTGTTTTTATATGATGAAAAGGTTGCCTGAGCTCTAGGAGGCTTTAGGTTTTATCACGGGATATTCTGTGCTGTCAATAATAATCCAAGTTGTAGGAAACTTTAATTTGAAGTTGGATGGCAAAAAATACCTGACTAAACCACTAAATGGCCAAGTGTTAGCCTCACGCCACTGTTTAGACATAAAAACAATCCATGTTTACACAATATTTTTAACACTAGTTTCAATCTAGAATCTAGACAGTTCAAAGTTGGTTGTATAATGCCTCAATTTCATCAAAGTCATAAAAAAATTGATTTCCAAATGACACCCTATCAATTTGAAAATATATGTATCTCAAACAATGTGCTGCTGGACCAAGTGTGGTCAAAACAAATAAAAATTTAGTATACAACTCTAAACCGGTATAAAAATGCATGGCTGTGTCACTTGTCTTCATTTCAAAATTCTCTGCTGAAAATATATGCATTGATTGTGTTTGCGTAATTCCATCTGTGAAGCTCAACATTAGCTCGGCAGTTGGTGGTGGACAGTCATAAATCCTGTCTGCAGTATGAATGACTTCTTCAGGAAAACCAACTTTACAATCAAAACTTTCCTCTAGATTTCTACTACAATATTCATCAAGTTTAGTTCTTTTGTTTTCACAGGAAACTGCCCTGATTTTTCTTTTTGAGGACGATTCAGTCTCTTGCTTGGTCCAGGAAAATAGGCTGGGAATGGCAGTAGACTTAAGTCTCTGTATGGTGGGTTTGCGCCCTGAAAAAGGTTATAAAACATTAGTTTTTTTATAATTAAATGAACTTCCATTAGCAATGCATACTTTGTACTACCTGGCAAAATATTAACTAGATTTATTCATTACAATCTGGATAAAACTATGTTTGCCTGATTCAATGTATGTTATGTAAATCCAAAGGACAAACAATGAGAGACGTATGCAACAAACATACATTGTTTGTACCTAAATAACTATAATATAGATGAGAGCATGTCATTGTTTTGTTCCTGTTAACATTGTCATTGATATTTTTCAAGAAAGTCTATGAGGCATAGCTTATGCATTCCTGTCATTACTACATTAGCATAATTACTGCTAAAATAATTCTCAGTATGATATACCTCTTGTAAGAAATCATTATAATTGTAGCAAGCACCAAAAAATCTCAAACAGATCACATTGAATCGTAATCCAAAAAATTATGATGTCTTGAATTAACCACCCCCTTTTATTCTAAAACGATAATTGCGGTTGTAAACAGACTTTGGTTTATTCGCATGGCGATTACATATATAAATTTATATTTTAAAAAGAAAATAGAGTTTTACCATGAATAGTTTCCTGCACGTAGTCTTTTTCAGTAAAATGTGCCTTGCAAACAACAGCTGATTGAGATGGACTCCACGATTTCATCGTGTTCTCGTCCAATCTGCGTATGGGCCATGTCGTTGATCCAACTTTTCCTTCTTTTTAAGTCATTTGGAAATGCATGTCCTCCTCTTAAATGACATCCAGGTACACAACAACAAGTACTTGGCATCGTTAATTAAAAATGCAACTGTAATAGTTGCTCAATGCAGAAACCGGAAGTTGAAGAACAGGATCGGCTACCACGGCGCCACCTATTCAGGAACGATAATTTGCTACTTTATATAACTGCGAAATAACATTAGACGGGTTTGCGTGCATAAACAGAAATGCGCTTTAAATTGTATAATATTATTCATGTTCAGTCGACCTTTAATTATTATATCAACGACTGAAATGATTTATAAACAACTAGATTGCAGATAACACTCGAAATTAACCCGACCTCTTTCCACACGGAATTCAAATAATTCTAGTTTGTCAATCGGTTGACTGCTTATAATGTAAAATACAAATATATCAAAAGTTTTTAAAACTAACAAAACACAATGATTGTTTCTCTATTTCCCAATGTAAATGAAATGAAACAAAAAACATTTTATATCACAATAAGAAGAGGAGAGAATCAACATTTTCCGGATCTACTTGGAGCCTAATGACCCCCCACGTAGATAAGTTGGATATCGCGGAAAGAAAGATTAACACGGCAACTAGAAAGGCATTAAAGCACTGCCTTTAAAAATAGGACGGACGGACAGAAAGATAAAAGGTCAAGGGTAACGCTTAATGCCCCTGCTCAAGCTACAAACAAACAAAAATAGGACAGACGGACAGAAAGATAAAAGGTCAAGGGTTACACTAAATGCCCCGGCTCAAGCTACACACAAAAAAAAAATAAGACGGATGGACAGAAAGATAAAAGGTTAAGGGTAACACTTAATGCCCCTGCTCAAGCTACAAACAAACAAAAATAGGACGTATGGACAGAAAGATAAAAGGTCAAGGGTAACACTTAATGCCCCTGCTCAAGCTACAAACAAACAAAAATTGGACGGACGGACAGAAAGATAAAAGGTCAAGGGTAACACTTAATGTCCCTGCTCAAGCTACAAACAAACAAAAATAGGACGGACGGACAGAAAGATGAAAGGTCAAGGGTAACACTTAATGCCCCTGCTCAAGCTACAAACAAACAAAAATAGGACGGACAGACAGAAAGATAAAAGGTCAAGGGTAACACTTAATGCCCCTGCTCAAGCTACAAACAAACAAAAATAGGACGGAGGGACAGAAAGATAAAAGGTCAAGGGTTACACTTAATGCCCCTGCTCAAGCTACAAACAAACAAAAATAGGATGTATGGACAGAAAGATAAAAGGTCAAGGGTAACACTTAATGCCCATGCTCAAGCTACAAACAAACAAAAACAGGACGGATGGACAGAAAGATAAAAGGTCAAGAGAACACTTAATTCCCCCCATAAAAAAAAAAAAGAAAAAAACAAAGTTCCAATATCCCATGCATTGCACATATTTTATTTATCGAAGGTACAAGGGCAATAACTAAATAATCTGTTGACACAGAGATATGTCTTGCCTGTCAGCGTAAAATTAAGAAAAAGACAATCTGATGGACAGCAACATTGCTTATTATTTCAGTTTCTGGACCATGATCTAGTGGGCAGGGCCTGAAATGGTCGACAAACCGAAATGTAAAGACAGTAATGTTACTTTATAGAAAATATTGTTGTTTATTGTAAGTAGTTCCTATCAATTTAACTTTAAAAGCAGAAAACTTAACATAATTAACTCAAAGTCACTGGACCATGTCCTAGGGAGCAGGGCCTCAAATAGTTGTCAAACTGATATGTACTGATAGCAATGCAACTTTATATCAAATATCAATGATCTATCACAAGTAGTTCTTATCAAACTGACTTAAGCAGAAAATTTTAAATTGAAAATTACTAATTAATTGAAAGTGGCTGGACCATGATCTACATTTTGTAGGGGGCATGGCCTCAAAATAGTTGTCAAACTGATATAAACTTATAGAAATGTACTTCATACAAAGTAGCATTGATCTATCACAAGTAGATCCTATTAAATAAACTTAAGCAGAAAACTTAACATTGAAAATAGTTAATTACTGTGACTTGACTGTAAGTGTTGCTCTCCACCTATTGCAGTTTATTCAAAATTCTGACCAAATTGCAATTTATTTTATCAAACTGCTGTAGAAAAACAATCAAGTGATGAAAGTGCAAAATGTGCAAGGTGATAAAATAAAGCAAACTTACAATCCTATAAGACTTTAATTCCACTTCAATGATATTATGAAAAATTTGTCTAAAAATTTCTATACAAATTTCATTGTAATTGTCATGCAAAAGGTGATAGGTAGTAACTTTTGAATTGCTAAAAAAAATATTCAAATTTAGGTGTTTGAATTATTTCTAACAAAATGGTGTTTTTCTATGTATGCTACAAAGCTTTCTTCAAATTAATCCCTAAAATACTTGGTGAAATATACTTGACGCTTAAATATATTCTATTGAAGTTTCAAAAGGAGATAAGACAAATATTTCCAAAGATCAATGCGTTTAAGATTATCCATGGAAACTTATTAACAACGTATTGTAATTTCACATATATTTTACTGAATATAAGATGTTTTAATTCAAATGATGTCTGATTCTTATGAATATAGAAGCCTTTAACATGACAATTACAATAAAATTTGTATAGAAATTGTTAGACAGATTTTTCATAATATCATTGAAGAGGAATTAAAGTCTTATACATGTAGGATTGTACGCATGCTTTATTTATCACCTTGCACTTTCACCACTTGACTGTGATTTTCTACAACAGTTTGTTAAAATTTCTGACCAGTTTGGTTTGATGATATAAATTGCAATTTAGTCAGAACTTTATATAAACTGCAATAGGTGGAGAGCAACACCTATAGTAATTCAAAGTCACTGGACCATGACTCCAAACTGATATGTACTGATAGTAATGCAAATTTGTATTAAACATTGATGATCTATCACAAGTAGTTCTTATCAAACTAACTTAAGCAGAAAACTTCAAATTGAAAATTACTAATAAATTCAAAGTCGCTGGACCATGATGACCTATAGGTCAGGGCCTTGAAATAGTCGTCAAACTGATATGTACTGATAGTAATGCAACTTTATATTACATCTTCTTCTTCTTCTTCTGGTTAAGTGTAGGACTCATTTTGAGTATATTCACACTGATGCATACTTACCATAGCAGTACATACAGCTCTCCTCTATATAGAGTTAAAAAAAAGAGTATTTACAGTTAAAATCCAACTATTACAATTTAGGAGATGGTGGAGGTAGCCAGTGCCTGTTTGATTCCATCGAGGGTTAGCAAACTGACTACTGGCTGTGGCTGGTAGTTCCAAATTCTGATGGCACTCGGATACATATCAATGATCTATCACAAGCAGGGTTGTCAAAAACCCGGGTTTTATGAGTATTGCCCAGCCCAGTCAGTCAGGGGTACTACATGTACAAGTAATCTTTATTTACTTGAAGAAGTAAAAAAATATACTTATATAAGTTAATTACAATGTTTGAATAATCTCCCCTTAATTTTCTCAAAAATTCACTTGTACAAGTAATTTTTTTTACAATCCCACAAAAATTCTCAAGTTTTGAGATGTAAAAACATGCCTTTAATGATTTTTCCCAGGTTAGCTCATATTTTTCTATTAGAGTTCAATGTTTCATCTCATTAATTCAACAAAGAAACTGATTGCGCAAAAAGGCAGGCCTTCAAAAATTGCTCCTTGGGGGCTTGTAAATGAGCAGTGTTCTGAAGATAACAGACAAATGAGATTTGCATTGTCCATGAAATTACACTTAGATGATTAGTTAAGACATCTGCAAAGGACAGACAATTTAAAATTCTATTAGAGCAAAGAAGTCCTAAGAATTCAAGAAAAGAAGATAGGATGACTTTTTCACTTGTATAAGTAAAAAAATCTGAATGTCTAAGGGACATAACTAAGCCAATTTTTTTTTACCTATACAAGTAAATAATAAAACACACTTGTATAAGTATCCTACAAATTTACTTATATACATGTAAGTATATTAATATTACTTCTTCAAGTAAATAATGAATTGCTTCGCCGACCCCAGAGGTACAACCCTGAACAGTTGGGTCAAAATGGACACAATATTCGCGCTTGATACAGGTCTGAATTTGGATCGTAATTAAATATTTGACACAGAATAACTGTAGTCAAAGAACTTAGAATTGGTTATATGATTTGAATTTATATTCAATTTTTTGCTTTTGTGCAATACACTATGCTGTTGTGAATTGACAACCCCCCCCCAAAAATTATTTGAAGAAATTTTCTTTTTAATTTCTGAAATCTGAAATGAGAAAAAATTGTCCCCCCTCACAATTTCTTTTTTGCCCCCCCCCCCCCAATTTTTTTTTACCTCCCCCCCCCTTTTTCCCCCCAAAAAAATCTTTCCCTCAAGATATGGTCATAATCTCAATTCAAATTTCCAATGGAGTTTGCAACCATAATTACCCATTTAAATACATCATAAAAGTCTTAAAATAGAAAATTAATATTCCTTAATCAGCATTTTTAAATAGTAACTTCTAAAAATAAATTGACAGCTAATCACCTCAAGACAATACAACATTTCTTTATACATAATCTAAAAGCAGTGTAAGGGAGGTAATCCAAACATAACATCGTACTTTTTTTCAATTGTCCATTAACCAGGAAACCCTTGTTTTTCCCCCTTTTTTGCCCCTAATTCCTAAACGGTTTGAGCCATAACCCCCCAAAGCCAATCCTTACCATCCCTTTGTGTTATAGAAACTTGTGGTATAATTTCAGAGAGATCCATACACCGTTCCACAAGTTATTGTCTGGAAACTAGAAAAATGCTTATTTGGGACTCTTTTTGGCCCCTGTTTCCTTATCTGTTAAGACTATAAACCCCAAAATCAATCCAAACCTTCCTTTTGTGGTTACAAACCTTGTGTTAAAAATTTCATAGATTTCTATTTACAGTTATTAAAGTTATTGTCTGGAAACCAAATGTCTTCAGACGACGACAACGACATGATACCAATATACGACCGCAAGATTTTTTGCGGTCGTATAAAAATTACTTGTACAAGTAGTACCCCTGACTGCCAGTAGGAAATACTGGGAAACCCGGGAAATGCTGGGCAATACCGGGTATTATGAATTACTGGCCTGATTTTTAAAAGAGATTCAGTGATTAATCACAAATGCAATACATTAAAGTCAAAGAATTTAAATTGTTTTTTTTTAATGAATATAACTAAAATTAACAATTGTAAGGAAAGTTACTTTTAAACATTTTTTGTTCATTACTAAAAATGTTTACTAAGTTTTAGCATATGTTTATGTACATCACTAATTAATAAGTAATTATTCAGATTATAACACAGATTTTTTTATATAACGTACAATAATCAGCCTTTTGATTTCTATAAGTGCTCAAGGCCTCTCCCCTTAGGCTGTTTATTTAGCAATATGATTGTATAACAATTAAAATTACAATTCACTTAATCACTGCAATAAAATGCATTTTTCAACTTTGATTTAATATTGAAACAAAGCCTGGAAATTTAACAAGGTATCCTGAAATGTCCAAATCTTGTATTCAGGAATGACTCTCAATGGTTATCTGTATAAAATGTATATATATTTAGTTATAATGCTATTAAACTACAACAAGTCTTTACTATTTTGTGTAATAAATAATAAAATGCTCCGCTGGGGCGCAGCTTGATTCGACCGCAGAGGTCGAACCCTGAACAGTTGGGGCAAGTATGGACACAACATTCAAGCTTGATACAGCACTGGATTTGGATTGTAATTAAATATTTGACACAGCATAGGTTTCTGACACAGAATGAATGTGGTCTAAGAACTTAAAAATTTTTAATTTACCTTTTCAAACCATATCATTATTATTTGCTTTTATATATAAATCAGAAATAACCAATTTAAAACATTTAAAATGGAAAACTTTAAAGAAAAAAAAAATCCCCCCCCCCCAAATTTGTTGAACCCCCTTATGATTCATCACCCCCAAACTCAATCCCAGCCTTCCCTTTGTGGTATGGTACCTTGCAGTACAATTCCAGAGAGATCCATACACTTACACACAAGTTATTGTCATGAAACTAGAAAAATGCTTGTTTTTTTGCCCTTTATGGCCCCTAATTCCAAAAATTTTGAGGGAATTACCCCCAAAATCAATTCCAGCCTTCCCTTTGAGCTATGGTACCTTGCAGTACAATTTCAGAGAGATCCATACACTTGAACACAAGTTATTGTCTGGAAGCTAGAAAAATGCTTATTTTTGGCCCCTTATTCCTAAACGTTTTGGACAATTACCCCCAAACTCAATTCCAGCTTTCCCTTTGTGATATGGAACCTTGTAGTACAGTTTCATAAAGATCCATACACTTACACACAAGTTATTGTCATGAAACTAGAAAAATGCTTGTTTTTTGCCCCTTTTTGGCCCCTAATTCCTAAAATTTGGAGGCAATTACCCCCAAAATCAATCCCAGCATTCCCTTTGTGATATGGAACCTTGTGGTACAATGTCAGAGAGATCCATACACTTACACACAAGTTATCGTCGTGAAACTAGAAAAATGCTTGTTTTTTGCCCCTTTTTGGCCCCTAATTCTTAAAATTTGGAGGCAATTACCCCCAAAATCAATCCCAGCATTCCCTATGTGATATGGAACCTTGTGGTACAATGTCAGAGAGATCCATACACTAACACACAAGTTATGTCTGGAAGTTACAAAAATGCTTATTTTTGGCCCCCAATTCCTTAACTGTTGGTACCATAATCCCCAAAATCAATCCCACCTTCCTTTTGTGGTATTGAACCTTATGGTAAAATTTCATAGAGATCCATTCACTAAAACTAAAGTTAGAGTGCAAAAACCAATGTGTCTTCGGACGACCACGATGATGACGCCAACGTCATACCAATATACGACCACAAAATTTTTTTTGCGGTTGTATAATAAGCTTGAAAAATCATATTACCCAGTATTGCCCAGTATTACCCGTTATTACCCGTTTCTAGGAGTATTGCCCAGCCTGGGAAAACCCGGGTTTTCCCACCTGGGTAATACTTTGCCAACCCTGATCACAAGTAGTTCCTATCAAGCTAACTCTTTTAATAGTATTGATCAGCACTGATTATTAATCTCATCAAAGACATTGCTGATATAAACCTATGAAATAAGTTTTATAAAATTCTGGCAAGAATTATACACATGAGAGCACTTACAATGCAATTTTCCATATAATTACTGTTTCTAAGGGACATAACTCTTTTAAAAATAAATGGGGAATGTGTCCATGGGACACAGATGATGCCCCCGCTTGCATATAATGTTATAAAGGGATACAACTCAAGAACTGTAGAAGTGACGCTACCCAATTTTGATTTGAGTTTTGTGGTAATAAGCATTGTGTATAAGTTTCATAACATTTGGTTGAGGCAAACTTAAGTAAGAGAACGGAAATGAAAAATTCATCAATTTTTCCATTTATAGAGGGTCATAACTCTAGAACGGCAAAAGTGACGCCACCAAAATTCAAACTTGATCTGTGTTTTGTGGTTATAAGCATTGTGTATAAGTTTCATAATATTTGGTTGAGGCAAACTTAAGTTAAAGAACGGAAACGAAAAATTCAGCAATTTTCCCATTTATAAAGGGGCATAACTCTAGAATGGTAAAAGTGACCCCACAAAAATTCAAACATGATCTGTGTTTTGTGGTTATAAGCATTGCGTATAAGTTTCATAACATTTGGTAGAGAAAACTGAAGTAAGAGAACAGAAACAAAAAATTTAGCAATTTTTCCATTTGTAAAGGGGCATAACTCTTGAATGGTAAAAGTGACGCCACCAAAATTGAAACTTGATCTGTGTTTTGTGGTTATAAGCATTGTGTGTAAGTTTCATAATATTTGGTTGAGGCAAACTGAAGTTAGAGAACAGAAACCAATTTTGGGACATATGTACGTACAAGGGTAAAACTTAATGCCCCCTTCCCTACGACGGGGGCATAAAAAATTGATTGGCACTGATCTTTTAACTTGTCAAAGACATTGCTGATATAAACCTATGATATAAGTTTCATAAAATTCTGGCAAAAATTGTACACATGAGAGCACTAACAATGCAATGTTCCATATAATTAATGTTTCCAAGGTGCATAACTCTTTTGAAAATAATTGATCTGCACTGATTTTCTAACTTGTTCGAGATATTTCTGATATAGACCTATGATATAAGTTTCATAAAAATCTGGCAAGAATTGTACAAATGACAGCACTAACAATGCAATTTCCATATAATTAATAATGTTTCCAAGAGGAATAACTCTTTTAAAAATAATTGATCGGCACTGATTTTTGAACTCGTCCAAGACATTGCTGATATAAGTTTCATAAAAATCTGGCAAAAATTGTACATGTGAGAGCGCTAACAAGACAGGGTGGAGGGACAGATGGATTGATGGTATTTCTATGTCCCCCGTAACACGTTGTGCAGGGACAATAAATGGGGTGTTGAGGAGGCATATTTTTAAAGACTATCCTAAAAAAGAAATCAAAGTGTACATATTTTGAGTAAACTGTTCTCAATGTCTTAAAGTGCCTTCGATCTCCAGAATACTATTTTTTTCATTTATTTGGAATAGCCAAAATGGTGATTTTTTGGACTAAAATAAATAAGGTAAAGCATGAACATGATGAAAAAATATACTTACAATAAACCATTTAAGATCTATGTTTCTGGTGTATGTTGTCATGGTCTTTTTGACAGGATCCACAACAGATTCTTCAATTATGGCAGTCACATACCACTTTGGTCCATCTCTACCCCATTTTGGAACATTGTACTTCTTGGTCAATAGCCTTTTTGTAAATAATTTCTTTCCAACTAAGACTCTAGACACAACATCTTCAGTTAAAACATGCTTACTGCAATGGAAAGTTTAATTTGATATGCTCAGTCTGACAGAAAGAGTAATATATATACATGATACACATGTAAGTCCACACATGGTGATTCATTTAACTACACGTATTCCTCTTGTTGGTATCAAGTGATTCACTGAAATAGGGTGATTACTAGTGATACCACTGTAATTTTAGACCCTGTAAGATATTAGACTAAAAATAATATTTCTGTTTATTGCCTGCAGTTATAATAAAATAATGCTGTTGAGCGAAAAAATAAATACTTGTTATAAACAAAAGAACTTGCTTTCTCTCGTCTCTGATAGTTTGAGCAGGCACAATGAAAAGATAGCAATTTCTAATTTCTTATCTTTTTTTCACTCAATTTTGGCTATTTTGTTTCAAATTTAACCATGTTGACGGAAAAATCGCTAAAATAGAATTTATAGTCTATCATGTCTATTCTCAAGACACAATCAAATTTTGCGTTATAAATTTTTTGCAAGGGCATAAAATGTTTGAGAGTTGACGATCAATCATCATGATCATAGGGTCCTTAAGAAGAAAGGAAACCGATACATATTTCTTTGGTCTTGTCTTTGGTATAAACACAAGTATTTCAGATTGAATCACCAACAAACAATCACCAGCATTAGCTGTCACAAATCAGCACCAACAACATTTTTTGATTGAATCACATTTTGTTTCTACATGTACATGTACTAATATTCAATAATATTTAATGCATGTAAACAAAGGAGCAAGTTCGGTAAGACCAAGAATATAAAGTCCATTTATATTTATTGATAAAAAAAATTTAGATCAATAGACATGTAAGAAAGCGTTATAGATATATTTTGATCAAGCTCTTCTTTTACATTTAGGCCTAAGAAACATTGAGTGCAAGGTTCAACGAACTAAATATTCAAGTCTAACCTTACTAATGTCAAAAGATGTTTTTTGTTGACATATGACACATTTTTTTTTTATTGAATTTCAAGGAAAATAAAATGTCTATGTCAGTATGGTTGTCATTATACATTTAAATAGCAGATCCATCAATAATTGGTTTAAGGACTTTTTTGTGCTGATTACCTTCTTTAAAACAATTAAAACAAAATTAATTATGGTGTTGATGCAAACACAATCACCTTCAAAAAAGCCTATATGCAATATTTTAATTTCAGTTATTACTCATTAAAACTATTTACTGTAAATTCAGAAATTATTGCAAAGTTTTTATAAATTTATGCGGAAAATAATAAAATACTAATAAAGTTGAATTTATAATTTCAGTAGTAATTTCCTTCCCATTTTTTTGTGTAATGGCATTAAATAGATCTCACATATTTACCAGTTATCAGCTATTTGCAAAAATAAATGCACACATAATTTATTTCTGAATTTACAGTATTTAGAGTAGAATATATCCTTACAATCATTCAAACTAATCATGCTACAAAGTATACACACAAATCAACATACCTTTTAGGGTTAGGATATCTTTGCCAAAGGCCAACTGCAATTTGGTCCCAGTTGAAGTTATATGGAAGTAAAGTATTGAAGAACTTCATAGCTGCCAAACAGTAAAGTATCTACATGTACATCAGTCTTTAATGGAATGCATCCTAAAAAGAAGGAATAAAGGATCTTTGTAAAATAAAAACAATTAACGAATCTACATTGTAAAATACCCAAGTCATATGTCAACAATTGAAGAACATGTAAACAGTATATAAACATGATAAATGTAACTTAGATGTGGTACATGTATGAGACAATGAGACAACTATCTATCAACCAGAGAGGAAGGGATGTGGATGTAAGCAAGTATAGATCACTGTATGGCCTTCAACAATGAGCTAAACTCAATCTGTATACAAAAGTAGCCTTTCCCAAGTCAGGAACCTCTTGCCTTTATTAGTCTTGTATGTTTTTTTTAATTTTAGTACATTTATATGTTTCGGAGTTTAGGCCAGACTTAAAAATATTTCTGTTTGCCCAAACCCTACCCACCAGTCTCAGGTGTGGGTAGGTAGGTAGGGAAATTCTTTTTTTTTTTTTTTATACTTTTAGAGAAAAATAGGGGAAAAAATTATTATTATTAAGGTAAACAACTTTTAAAATGAAAGACTATTACAGAGTTTTGTATAAATTGTCAGACACATATATACCAGGATCTACATGTATATGTGCTATAAAGATCTTTTCTATCAACAGTTTTTTTTCAGCATTCCACCTCAATGTAAATACAGACAAACATTTTAAATGAGTTTATACTCAGTACTATGAGAGAAAAATATTTCCCTGAAATAAGAAAAGAGATCACTGATAAAATCACTCCAACAAAATGGAACTGCACCTTCACGCACAAAACCGTGATAGTGCAATTGTTATAGACTGTTCAAAATTTAAGGAGCTGTTTGATAACTGTAAAAATTCCAGGAAAATATTGAAAACAAAACCAGAAATATGTTATTCCAAATGCATATAGAAAGATTGAAAATTATGGACAACAAATAGCAAGACATATATTGCATATACGTATATATATACATATATCTCAAAATGAAGGAAATGACAAACAAATGAAAATAGTGATTATCATAAGTGACATATACATGTATATACCGACACAGAGTCTGTCATATAACAATTGTAAGAAATGTAAAGAAGCTCTCGACAAATATTTTAAGCTATGAAAATGAAATTAAATAATTATTCAAAAGGTCCCTGTAAATATGCCATGCATGATACTTTTATTGTTTTATATTTATATGTGCTGTACATATGTTGGAAAAAACGTTTTTGTTTTATTCTTTAAAATTTCAAAGTTAAGGAAAAACTCCATATATATTTGGAGGTTCTCCTAATTAAAGGAGGCTCATACTAAGAAGAAGTTTATTTGAAATCAAAATACAAAATTCAAATAGGAAACACTTGAACAAAACACTGTTGACAGAACTTCTGTCAGAATAATATCATTTTAATGCCGAATCAAATTCCTGAACAACTTGGATTGGTTCCTAAAAATCTGGCTCAAATGAGTGTCTCGATCGGTCAGAGACAGTCACACAAATTTCATCAGTTTTCCGTAGCATGAAATCGTCATCACACATTTTATCAAACACCTCTTTCCATGTGTTTGCGTTTTCAAAACGATAGAATTTGTTGGAAACTACGGGTTTTGATTTTAATCCAACCTTTATTTGTACTAGGGGTGCTACAAACAGTTTCGTATAAAAAACTAGGGGTTATTCCCCGACTAAAAATAACCATGGAGGGAAATCCCTTTTTATTCATATAATTGGTGAAAAAGTATCATGTTTTTTGTATTTGATTGTAAAAATTAGTTAATTAGCTTTCAATTTAAACAGGTTGAATGATTAAAATAATTTTAAAAATTAGATTAAATATACATGTTTTGAGGGGAGACAACACTGTAAACATCCTGTTTTTTTGGCAGTAAAAATTGAAAACTTATTTGCAGCCACTGTAGCTCTTTTCGAAGCAGGAAACCGTACCCTGAAACAAGATTTTTATTAAAGGCCAGGTAAAAACCTATGAATTTCATACAGTTTTGATTATGGGAAATGTGCCTGTATCATGTTTACATGGGTATGCACATGACCTGATTTCAGGTTTTTTATGTTCAGATTAGGTAACTTTTTCCCCATTTTCTCTGGATAGAACTTTTTTACTATATTAAAAGTACACTATATTTTTATTTCAATATAAACTAGAGAAAATTCTGATTCCAGTGATATCTAGTTTTATACAAGTATCTTTATTAACCATTCCACCACTAAGGGTCACTTAGGCATGGTCCCTTAAAATATGACGTCATAGAAAATAACTGTTGATTGCACCCTTAAAGGGTCAAACATATAATATAGTGAGGTTTTAGCATAGAAATGTGTTAGTGAATGGAGTAAAACAATTCTGAAAAATATCATATGGCATGCATACATTAATTCAAAAGCATCAGTTTGGTATATTTAATGCAAATATTACAGATTTGTACATAGCAACCAGATATAAGAAAACCAGACTGTGTGCAAATTTTGAAGTTTTTTCATCTTTTTGCGACGTCATAATATTTTCATTCATTCTCTCATATATTTGGAACCAAAAGTTGCACATGAAAAGTGTAGATTTTATCTACTTTGACCTTTACTACTGATCAGTGTAACATACATTTTTATTTATTATATTATATATTTGGTACTTTTTATAGTCAAATAGCTACAAGTGCCGTTCCTAAGAAATACACTATTTCAATATTTTTCTCAACTCAGCTACACCTTAGTTCATATAATACTAGGGACAAAATATGTTTAAAGTAACTTTATTTATGTTTATTTCATAGTTTTTATTCTATTTATTCAAAAGAAACCCAATTTTATGATTTTTTTTCTTTGTATAACTGGTGAAAATGTGATACAGGAAATGTTTGGAATATGCCAGTTTAACTTTTTGCCACTGGCCAATATGCCAATACTATGCGACATAAAAAATGAGCTGTAGTTTCATTATCGATGGTCGCAATCCTTAAAGTAAGACATCATTTTAATCGATATGATGTACAGATTCAGAAAAGTAGAGAATTTTTTATATATCGCATACAAAGTTTTGCTTAAGGGTGCTATAAACAGTTTCGTTTAAAAAACTAGGGGTTATTCCCCCGACTAAAAATAACCATTGAGGGAAATCCCTTTTTATTCATATAATTGGTGAAAAGGTATCATGTTTTTTGTATTTGATTGTAAAAATTAGTTTATTAGCTTTCAATTTAAACAGGTTGAATGAATTTTAAAAATTAGATTAAATATACATGTTTTGAGGGGAGACAACACTATAAACATCCTGTTTTTTTGGCAGTGAAAATTGAAAACTTATTTGCAGCCACTGTAGCTCTTTTCGAAGCAGGAAACCGTACCCTGAAACAAGATTTTTATTAAAGGCCAGGTAAAAACCTATGAATTTCATACAGTTTTGATTATGGGAAATGTGCCTGTATCATGTTTACATGGGTATGCACATGACCTGATTTCAGGTTTTTTATGTTCAGATTAGGTAACTTTTTCCCCATTTTCTCTGGATAGAACTTTTTTACTATATTAAAAGTACACTATATATTTTTACTTCAATATAAACTAGAGAAAATTCTGATTCCAGTGATATCTAGTTTTATACAAGTATCTTTATTAACCATTCCACCACTAAGGGTCACTTAGGTATGGTCCCTTAAAATATGACGTCATAGAAAAAAACTGTTGATTGCACCCTAGACGGTGACATGTTGTTTTCATCCGTGTCGATTGGAGGCTTAAATACATAACACAAATTGTCCTGCGATAAAGCGCTGTTAGATCGGATCAGGTTATTCTATGCAACAAATTCAAGACGGATATGGACATGACGGATACGACAAAACTCCGCAAAAAAAAAAAACATCGTGAATTTTGAATAAAAAAAGATTTTGACTATGGTGCTTTTTTATGGGTTTGTCGGTTTAGGGCAAACCAACCTATTCTTTTTTATGGCCTTAGTGAGACGTCCATTTTCACTGAACTAGTACACATTTTTGTCTCGGGGCCAGCTGCGGGATTTTCTAGCTGTGTTGAAGACCTATTGGTGGCCATTGGCTGTTTTCTGCTCTTTGGTTGGGTTGTTGTCTCTTTGACACATTCCCCATTTCCATTCTCAATTTTAAGCTATAATAGGACCGAGGACAACAAAATGTGAAACACTTCAAACAGAAAAGAAATACAGCACATACATGATGTAAGTGATTTTTTGTATTTCCTGGATTGAATTTTCCAAAAGACCTTGAAAATATGTTTCTCATGCATGGTTTTAAAATAAAAATATGTGATAGACAGAGTAATTAGCTGTGTCTTAAAACATACAAATGATCTCCACATGTCATTGGAATTGTTGGGTTGTTGTCTCATACATCTGATTGATTATGTTTACGTACGAATATCATATTTTTTTAAGATCCAACTCTATGACCCTCAATATTTGTCATCATTGTTTATTGGTGTTTTTTTCTCTTGTTTATTTCGCCATGTTCACTTCAAAATATTAAATTTTTCAAAAAACATTTATAAGCAACTTGATCTCACTTTAAAGTGGAACAGCCTAATTCCCAAATGAAACATTTTTTTATATACATGTAGAAATGAGATATGGTATGATTGCCAATTAGACAACTCTCCACCAGAGACCAAATGACGTAGAAGTTAACAACTATAGGTCACTGCGCATGCATGGCCTTCAACAATGAGCAAAACACATACTGCATATATAGTAATCTATAAAAGGACCTGAAATGATAAATGTAAAACAATTCAAACAAGAAAACTAATGCCCTGATTTATGAACAAAACAATGAAGAAAAAACAAATATGATATATACAGCCTCATACGACAACCACTGAATTACCGTACCTACTCGCTTATTAGTCGGAAAATTGGGAGTAAAATTCATAATCCAGAGAGGGGGACCGACTAATAAACGAGATCTAGCTACCAGAGGAAAAATCCAAGCTTGAGAAAAGTGGTCAGGAGTGAATTTCCTGGTCAAAACTACGTTTTTGATTGCCAAACCTACATAAATCAATAAATAAAAAGTTTTTGTTGAAAATAAATGACTACAATACTGTCTTTGTGTTTTATTTGTTCTTTGGTAAACATTTTCTGCAAATTCGTGTTGAAATTCTACTGTTTCCGGTTTGTGTATTGATTTTCATGGTCACATGGTTTTCCTATAAACCCAAAAGAAGAGCCAAGAACCAAAAATGAAAAGGAGATAACAATGTACCAAATATGTGAAAGGATGTTTTCAGCGGTGTTATTGTGTCATTATTGTGATATCATGATATCAATTCAATGCTTATAAATCATATAATAATCAAAAAATAATTTTAAGATTCATTCCCAAAATCAAAATATTATTTATTAAAGTGTCTCAGGTAAACAAAAATTACAAAATTGATTGACAAGCCAATATAATCCATTGATAACCCCAATTAAGAGACAAAGAGTTGTATTTACTAAAGGTGTGAAAACTATCAGTGATAGGTAAACAGATGACACTAATGAGTTGGAGTTAGTTATTTTAATATATTGATAAGCTTCACTTAATTTTTTTAATCCTTTAATCATCACAATATAATAAGAATTATGAAGTGTACATGCTCATTTAACACCGAGTTATGTATGCTGTGAAAAATATTTTCATCAAGTGTTGATTGACTTTAAATTTTTCATGTTCATATTGGTTTATATTCGCCTTTCTCAAACAATAGGTTGTTAGTCATACCCTACAAAATCATTGATGCATTACGTAAACAACTAACATTTGAACAGTGAACAAAACAAGAGAAATGAATACATCTTTATTATTAACAGCAATATAAATTATCATGATGAGCATCAACTAAATTCAAACCAAACATTAATGCAGAAATGAATATTATTCCTGGATTTGCATTGGTTCTACCGGCGTTCAGTTACTGTCAGCTGAAAAAAAAATGCCCAAATTTTGTCCGACTTATACGAGGGTCAAGACTAAATCCTTAGAATTTGGAGCTGAAAAGGGCCCCCGACTTATAGTAGGATCGACTATTAGGCGAGTTTATACGGTACATGCTCCTGACTTGGGACAGAATCAAATAGAATGTGGCGGGGTTAAACATGTTCATAACCATGATTTAACATTCATTCATATCAATCTTTAACCTGTCACAAAGTAGTTCCATCAATTAGCATGATAAGTAAGCAAACATTTGATATTTTACACCTGTTTTGTGTAAAAAATGAAACCAATGTACAATGTACATGTACAAAATGTATTTATCACAAACGATCTTTTTCCTGGGATTGTTAGATGCAAAATGACCAGGTTCTTCGAGTGGTTGGCATACCATGTATTTGTTTCAAAACATCATTAGTATTTCCTAAAGGATGTTTTGGGAGGGTGTGGCACCCTGCACATTTTCTTCACGCCTTGCCCTTTTCTGTAAAAAATTCATATACATGTACATGAACCACAATTTGCAAAATTGCCTGGCGGGAAGTTTTAAGATAAAATCTGGTTCAAAACACTGCAATTTTTTAGTAATTTCTACAACCCTGGATCTCGCCAGATTCAAAATGGGTGAACGAAATAGGTGGAGACATATAACAAAAGGAATAATTAGACAACAGTGTCAAGGAAAAGAATATTCAAACATTAGGTACATTTTTTGTACGTTATATCATACAAAAATATCTAACAAAACAAACTATATTCATTGTACATTGACAAACTACGCACGGTCTATAAACAATGATTTTTTGGAAAATAATTGTGACCTGAACCTGAGTCACAATTCCAAATGTTTTAACATAGAAATAAATTATCCAAAGTTCTATGGTCCTCAATTTGACAGGCACAATTGTCAAAAAATATCATGAGGACCATAAGAGCTACGGTTCCACAGCTTTCAGAACCGTAGCTTAAACCCTGCAAGTGTAAATACGTGCACGGTAGAACAACAAATTAAATGGTAAACCATGTAGAGTGCCCTGTGTTTTTTTTTATCAATATTATAAATTATTTGATAAAAAAAAAACACAGGTTAAAGCATGTCTCGTGTAAACATCGTTGACCAGACAAGGGAATTTAACATTCTTAAACAAACTGTTCACAATACGTACAATGAGTTTTTAAGATGATACAAGGATAACATGCACTACTTTATTCCTGGTTATGTGTCAAATTCAATAATCATTTCTTCCAAAATATTTCTTGGGATCACGTTTTTGTCAATCACCAAAAGGCTTGTACAGGTAGAAGAATACCCCTTTATGAAACGCTTAGAAGATGACGATTTTATTGAATGTGGATCAACTCGGCCCGGAGAAAACTCGGACCGATTCAAATCGGACCGACTAAGACAACTCAGACCGTCTATAAATGAAGACAACACGGACCTTCAATAAGTCAACTCGGACCGTCTATAAAGTAAACTCGGATCGTCTATAAAGACAACTTGGACAAAGTACTATATGTTCATATTTTGTTATAGTTGGCATTATAGACGATCCGAGTAGACTTTAAAATAATAAATAAGGAATTCAAAAAATAAATAAATCAAATTAAATCTAGACTTTTTTGCTTCAATTAACTGAGTGTTATAATAAATTGATAAAGATAAGTAAAAATTTGAATTCACATTATACGATATTTTTTTATCATGTTTTGCAAATTCAGCAACATCCAAATGATGTTTATATTTAATAATTTATAATAATTTATATAGTTCAAATCCTCTATTAATACTAACATGACTAAGTATAAGGGGGATAAGGGGGCCTTGAAAAATTTTAGGAATATATAGAAAGGGGATATCCAAATTTTAAATGGGGGCGGGGTGGTATCTATTTTTTTTTATTACAATATAGATTTGAGCTATCCTGTATTTCAAACAGTCATGCAAAAATTATAGCCAATTTATTTAAATCAGTATCTGACTGACTTATTATTTATACGGAGTATAATTATATCTCCATATCTCCAAGTTGATACGATATTCCAGAGCTTGTATTTCCTATCATCATTTCCTTGATATAGGGTTGCTGCTCACAAGGAAGCTTTTAAACCAAGAATTCCAAGTGGTGCAGTTAAAATCATTCCTTCGTAAATTTCACTGACGCCATCACGAGTTGGTTGACCGTTATGGAATATCCGTTTCACAGATGATAGCGGACATATGTTCCAATTTTCGTTAAACTACAATCAGACGTCCCCTTTTCCCTTAATGTGACCTACCGAATTAGACTTATTACCGGGTTTGTACTGACATGAGCAACACGTACGGGTGCCACATGTGGAGCAGGATCTGCTTAGCCTTCCGGAGCACCTGAGATCACCCCCAGTTTTTGGTGGGGTTCGTGTTGCTGAGTCTTCAGTTTTCTATGTTGTGGTTTGTGTACTGTTGTTTGTTTGTTTGCATGTTTGTCTGTTGGTCTTTTTCTTTTTTAGCCGTGGCTTTGTCATTTTATTTTTGGTATCTTTCGCCTCTCTTTTATTCATCAGGAGCGTCTAACACTTGATTCAGATATATCATTTCTATATCTCTTGTTTCGTCATTTTTGGCTTAGTCAAAATTCATTTCAATGTTTGTTTCATGTAAGTCAATGCATTCCACTTTTTGTTTTTTTGGACATGAAGGGGTTGTTGATGGTTGGATATCTTAGTTTTTGCAGGCTTTCATGAAGCTTTTCTGATTATATTCTTTTTCGTGTAAACTAATTTAACTAATAGCTGTTTCCTGACATGATTAATCTTAAATCTCATGATTGAGCATATATTTTAATGGTAAAAGATGATATTTAGGAGTCAAGTGTGGCATTTTTAATATGTCTTAACGTGAATAATTTTCCTGTATGACATGGAGTTATGGAGTCAGGCAACCCATACCCAACGCTTCCGCTTACAATAACAAAAATATGATTGTTTGTTAGGAACGACATCATTTTTTTTTCGCCTCGCTCAGTTATTTAGATAAAAATCTTAAGTTAAAACATGTTCTTCCAGTAAGTATTTATCTGATACAGAAGTCAATCAACTAACTTCTTTAATACAGTATAGTAACATTGTGTTGAAATTGAATGAAAGTGTGGTAAATGTCAATGAGACAATAACATGCATATTTAAATAAAGTTCCCTGTAGTCACAAACCTCTTCCCCACTTGAAGCTTTATTTTCGCTGCTGATGCACTATTTCATTAAATAATAATAATATAAATATAAATTGTATGCATATATTTATTGTTGAAAAGAATAAAAGTATTGAAACCTGTTAGGGGAGGGGGTTGAAATTTCATGTCTTTGGAAGGGGGGTCTTGAATTTATTTTCCTTCTTCAAGGTAGGGACTTGAAAAAAATAAGAGAAATATAGATGTTTCTTACCACCTAAATGGAAGAAAATCACCAGTCCCTTAGGTCTAACCATGTCTCTGTTCTAAACATATTTAGGTTGGCAATGTGTTAAGGATTGTGTTTAGGATCGTGTTTAACTCAGAATTTAGTGTTTTATTCTTAAAATCTTTAGTTCTAATACACATTTCAAAGTGTTTACATATTCAAGATATTAATGTGCTTACTCTAGAAATGAGTCATTTGTTTAGATATTAAACACAATCCCAAACACGTGAAGAACTAAACATGTAATACAAGTGTTTATATTCTAATCACGATTTTTACAGTGTACCCGCCAAATTACAAAAAGTCAAAAAGAAACAGTTAACAATACACGGACTCGTTATGATATATCAGCATTTCATGTGTATGGTATTTTAGACTAGAAGCCATGTAATTAACCATTGAGATGACCCCCGAAAAATGCCTTATGACCTGATAAAAACATAAATATAAATAGTTAGAAAATGACGTGCAATCTTGTATATATAATGACGACTTTTCTGGTCTCACTGTTTATTTCATGTCATAGATTAAAAAACTGAGTATTGCATCGTTTTACATGCTTAAAATGATTTTTTTGTGGGCCGAATCAATAACAAGAAAATAGATTTTGCTGGTGGTTCATATTGTTTCCTTCTTCAATGTTGACATTCTTTTCTTTTCAATAACTGAACATATTGCGAATGTAATACCCAGCTCTTACGCTAGCATACCCCTTAACCTAACCGAATTCCTACCATAACTCTTCTCCTAAATGAAACCCTTACCCACAAGTATAGAGTCCTAAAACGAAGGCCATAATGATAAACAAAAACAACATAAACCCAAGAATAAAAAAGTTCAAATAATTTTGGGGATCAAGAGACACAGAGATCGTCCTCAATGACTTATTACGGATTAATTTTCAGACGTGTTTTTATCAATAATGCCTTTGATTTTCAAATTGTGTATTTTAAAAAGAATCTAAAATTGTATATTAAGATTATTTCAGGCTGAGGCATAGCCTCCATTCAGACAGTACGGCAACTCTCTTGATAATATTTTTGGAAAAATAAAAAAAAAGAAGATCGACAAATGGAAAGTAAGATAAAATGCGCAACTTAATTGTCATTCTGTAGTGAAGTGACGATGTTTTAGCTTTTAAATTTATTTTTCCTCCTTATTCAAAATTTATCGACAGACTGAAAGAATAAGTCAAATTTTGTTTCACGGAAAAGACCAACGTTGATACAATATGTATAAAAAACTACTCCTATTCAAAAAAAAAAGTTTTGTTATCCTAAAATTATGGAGATTTTCTATTTTTCAAGACAAGAAATATTGCTGAAGTACAGTTTGACATGACATCAGTGATGAAGCTTGACCCGCATTTCTTGTAAAGCTTGGGACCCAAGGCCTCATCACTAAAAAATACACCCTGCAATTTTTTTATGTTTGCAGCGTATAGTTTTTTCGACATAATATACAATTATTGCAGAACTTTCTTTAGTGACGAAGTTTTCGCCATTAAACCTGCTACTATGAAAAGTAGTATTACGGTCCTTGATCCATGATGAGGCCGTGGGTCAATATATAGCTGCAAATCATTTGCTTTACAAGAAATAGGGGTCAAGCTATGTCACTGATGTAAGGTCAAACTGTTACTTCAGCAATATCTGATATTATAACCTTATTTTTTTATAGAATGATAGGAAATCAGAATTATGTTAATCAACATATACTTCAATGAAGGCTTTGTCCATCCTCTGTTGGAAACTTGGACAAAATAAGATAAGCCAAACAAAACAAAAAAATACAATATAAAAACTCAGTTAAAACAACTTTGTAATACTGCGTTTTTCTACAATCATTTTCTAATGAAAAACAAAGTTATCTGCAGCATTATGAAACTTAATCATTTTAATCATCAATGAAAAATAGAAATTCCTCAGAATCTATTTCAACCATACCTTGATTAACACTGCATTTCTTACATTCTCAATTACAATTTCTAATAGAACAAAAGTGATCTTCTTTGTAACTGAACCATTTCATTTCTCGCATTTACAGCTGGATGCTGTTAAATGCGAAAATCTTCTACTTGATTGTTAAGCGGTGACGTTGTAACGACACAAAGCGTTGTCAAGGTCTTCTTTTATTCATGCACAGTTCAGTTGCATCATAATACGCTATGTAACTTTATAGTTAATATAAGTATGGCTTAAGGTCAAGGTACAATAAATGGGCTATGCCACAGATTTTGATAATAAAAGAAGTTGAACATTTGTATAGAAAGCACATAAAATCGACGAAAAACGTTCTTAAATTTGTCTTAAAAACAGCAAATGTTCTTAAAATCATCAAATCTCCAATTTCAAATCCATTCTTTAAAAATTATATGTTGTTGATACATTAATTTCCATTTTAATGATTTATAAATAATCATATGGACTTAGTTTTCGGTGTATTAACCAACCTGTTACATTAAAGGTAGTTGCAAAAGTCAAAATTCAACGTTTTACGGCAGACAACGATATGGCGTTTCGCTTATTTCGACGTTTCGTGGTATTTTTCACATAGAACACCACAACTTGTGTTGTATACGGCAAAATCGAAGTCGGCGACGCTATCATTATTCTACGTAGGTAACGATCATTTATGTTGTCAAGAAGAAATCATCTAGCATATTTTATCACAGGCACTTGTCTCTGAACATTTTTCTCCTATATACCTTTATATAACACAAGGTACTTAACTCGCATTTTTGAAAAATGTCACCCGGTCGCGAAATTCCGTTATATTTAGATTTCTTTGTTGTCAACCCCACTAAAACTTGTTATGCCGTAAATCTAAATTGATTTATCTACACAATGGTGTATAACACGCCTACCTTTGTTGTCGGAATCATTCGTAGCAGGCCTCCCCAAGTATGTGAACCGTTATTATTTCGTCTACCAACAGCCGATTGGAAATATAAGACTCGCAGTAAATAAGAAAATATAGTGAAATCGTAACAGCTTCGAAATAAGTAACCTGTATTGATAATACCGAACCATTCACCTTTAACTGTACGCATATACACATACTATACATATTTGAATAGTCAAAACTTAACTAACACGCCAATAAAGAATCAAAACACAAGTTTTTCTCCTTTATTTTTTTTTTCTCGAGTTATTTGTTTTTAGGCATTGAGAAACCTTTGGCGACCCCTGATCCAGCCAATGAATGGTCATGTCCACGCTGTTATGGCTTTGATAATATCATGTCTTTGAAACATATTCCAAATGTCGCATAAGCACGTATATGTGATAGGACACATATATCGTTAATAAGCAACAGAAAACAACTACATAATTATATATATATAAACTCCGGCTGCGGGAGTTTCTCGCTGCATTGAAGACCCATTGGTGGCATTCGGCTGTTGTCTGCTCTATGGTCGGGTTGTTGTCTCTTTGACACATTCCCCATTTCCATTCTGAATTTTATGATGTAAAACAAAATTTATTTTTTGCTATGAATATATGGGGAGTTGGGGTCAAATCGACGTTGAAAAAAAATTCAAGGATTCGCTTTGCAATTATAGGAAGTATTTATCTGAAATCAGCAAACAACGCGTACAGAATCATGACATAATAATTTTGATATAGGTTTACTTCTTATTTAATTTTGGTTAAGATTGACACTTTTATTTAGCTTTGAACAATTACCCAAAAGTCGTAAAAATCTTGGAAATAACATTTTTGAGTCATTTTTGGGCATTTATAACTTAGTTCCATATTCAGAAACATATATACAACACTCACATGTTTTATCTGAAAATATTCTTTTTTGTCTTTGATTCCGTACTAAACGTACCAAAAGCTTGAAAACGTGTGATGTCAATAAAACTATGGAGGCCGAATGCGTCCAAATTCGTGTTTTTGTGTTTTCGCCTTTGTCTTTTCATATGCGAAAACGCGAAAGACAAAACACTAAAACGCGAAAGACAAAGCACTAAAACTTGAAAGACAAAACACGAAAACGCAAAAGAAAAACGCCAAATCAAATTCATTTTGCGATTTATGGCTTTCGCTTTCGCAATTTGGCATTTTCATATTTAGATTTTTTTGTCTAAATCGTAGCTAATGTCCCTGAAAACTAGGATTTCCAAAACTCACGCTAACTAATATTTCTTTTCTTTCTTTTTTATATATCAAGATATACATAAAACGAAATCTAAGAAAATGTGTCAAACCGCTTGGAACTGAAGATGGATGTATTTACATCTACATAGTGAGACTTCTATTATATTATTTCATTTATTGAAATCAACTGACCATATGCTCGGAAGTCGGTTTCAAAATTCTACTTTCACTTTCGCTTAACAGATTCCGGTATATCATATATATGATGAGGTAAGCACTTAATTTCACTGTTTTCTAAAATAAAGTAAGCTGGGGGTCAACAAAAGAAGTCTAAAGATAAAATAAAAAATGTAACACTGGGAATATGAATTGGTTAAGGACTAGAGTCTTCTGAGGTAAATGAGGACAGTTGACACAAGACATACTTGTCTGGGAGTGAACGCGAACAGAGACAAATACATTTTCACCAATCAAACGTATCAAAACGCTTAAAGGTCATATGTAGGTAGGTATTCACGGTATTGATGCTAGTTATCTGTTTTTTTTTCTTCAGTGTTATATTTACATGCACGTAACTGTAGAAGTACATGTAGTATATCATGTTTACATACATGTAACGTGTATTTACAAGTGTACATGACAAGTAGGTAATTATGTATGTGTATTTAAATCCATATATATATATATATATATATATCAATCCATTTTCATGCCTAATATGAATGAATGACTATTTTAATATTAAAGTGCAACCTGAATTATAACAAACAATTATATTCAAATATACAAGTGATTTTCAGCCAGCCAAATAGGCCTATGATGCATTGTCATGATCTATGATACACATTATTGAAAATAAAAATAAATAAATAAATAAATAGATATAGTTCAAATTTAGACGAAAATATAGAAAGGCACGATATCAATTGACCACAGATTGTCTGATAGTAAAACAGTTCAAAATATAGTTAGAAACAAGCTTGCTGTAATTACAAAATAAATGTTTTAATTTGATGTGCGATGGTAGCGTATTTAAATCTATTATAATTGTCTTGGATGTAATTGAATAGTGTTGTTCTCAATTGTTCGTAGTGTTTACAATACAACAAAATATTGAGACTTGCACATTTTACATAGGCGTTGGTCAAGTGGCACATTTCGAAATCTACACTTTTCAACCCCTAAAGGTAAAGTTCCGCTTCTCATCCGGGCTATCACAGATCTTTGTTAATTGTCTTGATAAACATTTTTCAAGTATGGCTCTACCTTGTAGTCAGTTTTAATGTTTTTGTAAGTGCGTAATTTAGGCATATCTTCTAACGCATTTAACCACTGCTGTTGATGCAGTTCAACGAGTAAATTTGTCCTTAACACAAGATCGATATGATATGCGTCGTTGATCGTCATTATGAGTTAAGGTTGGTATACACATCTAGTAGATTACATTTAGCAGAGGTGGATTTAGAGGGGGGTGCAGGGTGCCCGCCCCCCTTTTGTGGGAAAAATTTGTTTGATTATATAGGGAATCACTGAAGCATGACTGGAGCGGGGCCCCCTCTTAGGCAGTCAGTGGGCCCCCTCTTATGAAAATTTCTGGATCCTCCACTGTTTAGTCATTATTGTTTTTACATCATTACTCCATGTTCTTATATATCTGTTGGAAATGTTCAAATCCCACATAAAAGCTTTGCGACACAGCCTATAGTCAGGCATTTCACACAATTGACACCATAGTTTTATCATGTTACATTGAGTTGTCATGTGTATAGGAGTCCAGCCTGTATCTCCTGTGATAGCCGGGATAGGAGCTTGCCAACTCCTAAAAATCGAATGGCTCTGTACTGTAATCTTTCTAGCGGATTGTACTTCTTAAATCCCCATACAGCAGATGCGTATTCAAGTATCGGCTACACTGTACTGTCATATATTTTGGTGTAAGTATCATAGTCCATGTTTCCCATATTGTAGTATTTTGAAGTTAGTGATCCTAGAGCTCTGCTGCCTGCGGTAAGTAATTCATGCGTTGTAGTTGTAAAATCGGTATGTTCACAGATCATGACTAGACCAAGATAGCGATATTTCGAGGTAAGTTCCAATGATTTATCACCAACATAAAAATATGACCGCACTGGTTAACAGTAGTTTTCCGAATGTGCATAACTTTAGATTCGTCGTAATTAACTGTCATTACAGGGGCAGATCCAGCCATTTATAAAGGGGGGGGGGGGATTCCAACTATATGTCCCCATTCAAATACATTGATCATCAAAAAAAGGGTAGGTTCCAACCCCCGAACCCTCCTTCCCTGGAGCCACTGCATTAAATGATCATTAGTCCATTTGTACAAAGAGTCCAGTTGCGATTGTAATTCTTCAGCACTGTCAGACATAATTACTAAGTCGTCGGCATACAAGAGGCAGCTTACCATGTCGTCCCCTATGTTAACTCCTTTGTGTAAATTGTTGATTTCTGGGATCAGGCTGTTTATGAATAGCGCAAAAGGTGTGGGCGCTAAATTGTCCGTTTGGCGGACACCGGTGTCGACTAAAAACCAGTCAGTTAATGTGTTTTTTGATATTCGCACAACGCTTTGCAACTTAGAGTACATATTTCTAATAGTTCTGAAAAAAATTCCATGTATACCATTTGACAATAGTTTATTCCATAGAAGTGTGTGGTTTATCATATATCATATACTGTGTTCAACTCTAGATTCTACTGACGAGGAAAGGTAACACTAGGCCACCGAAAGCAGAATGTTTTAGTTCAGTCTAGGTGGCCGAGTAGTCTAGAGCGCCGGACACAGTGCAGGCGGTGTTGTCTCGATATCTCAATAGCAGGAGTTCAAATCCCGGCGAGGGAAGAACAAAAATTTGCTTTCGCAAATTCGCAGATTTAACATTGTTGTGCTGATATTTAATTAGAGTAACTATGAATATAATATGTGTTTTCTGCCGTGAATCACCTTCACTGGTGATCCAATGGATGGATCTGTCGTAGAGTTGTCACTTGTTTAGACGTATTTTTTATATATATAAGTACGTCTAAACAATATTGATTCAAATATCTGTTTGTTTAAAATTTTTAATCAATTGTATCAATAATTGTTTAAGAAAAGGTTTACGAATTGTTTGTCTAACGTAAATTAACATATAAAGTGACTAGAGTGTACAATGCGCTTGTTTCACTCACCTATCATCTTGCAAACAATGCAATGACAAGAATATTTGTGTTGAATGGAAACTGTGCGGGTCAAATTCTGACTTGCTGAACATTTAGCTGGGTCAAGTTTTGGGTTAAAGTAGTCATTGTCTAAGTGTTATAACTCCGATAAGGAGTTAATTGATGATTTTGGCCATCTTGAATTATTTCTAGAATAGCTTCGTCATATGATTTCTCAAACTGTTACCACCATATTTAAGATGATCATATTGTTATCCAATCCAGAAGCCTTGTTTTTGTCAGGCTCTTTGACACTCTTCTTTTTTCGTGATCTGTAATCTTTAGCTTAGAGTCATAAAATGTTTCTTCGAAATGTTTCTGAGCGACCTCAACTGTCTTGTTTTTCTTCTGTTTCTTATCACTAGTTGGTTCTGATCCTGTGTGTTGTTCGAAAATTGACCCGAAGTGCTCGGCTCATCGGTCTAAAATATCTACCCGAGTTGAACATTGCCTCCCATTCACAATTAGTTTTGATAAACAACTCCTTGACTTTTTATTTTTGTTAAAAAAATGACCAGAGACGTTTCTTTTTCGAATGAATTATATGTCTCTTGTATATGCTTTTGATATGCATTTCGTAATTCCCGACGGAAACGTCTCTTGACTAATTTGTCTCTCGAAATGTGATGTATTTACCCCTAGGTCTATTGTATCCATAATCATGATAATTGACGTCTTAAAGTCATTTGTTGATGCAACGCATTTACAGGTTGAGTCCAGTATGGTTTAAGATATTTAATAAAAGTTGTGTGTGGAAAAGTTTCTGTTTCTGCTCATGGTATTGTATCGACGACATATATGTACACTCTATACCACCATCAGAACATCCTTCATTCGGTTACTCCACGTCCAACAGATAGTGTGAAGATGCGAAAGAAAAGACTTCCAAACTGATCTTTGTTCCTCTGCTTTTCCGTGATACTTTATAACATGGTTTTAATATTGTTTACATTTTTGAATTGTTGAATATAATTGGTTGATGATCTGAAACATTGAATGAATAGTCGTCTATCACACGTGCTGAATCTACCGGATTGATAGTATCCTTACATATCAAAAACACAGTTTATTGGTGTAGATGGACCATTTTCATACAACTGAAATGTATATGCATTTCCTTCCCTAAACGACTGCAAATGTAGCGAAACAAGACTTTTAATTCGTACATATTTGACGATTGAAGATTTAACGATAAAAGTCACACCTCCCTCCATTCGAGTTTTGAATGCGTCAGGTTAGCCATCATCAACATTTTTTGAATTTACAGATAAATAAGTCGAATTAATACTGTTGAGTACATATATACAGTGTCTTTGCAGCAAATATTCATATAGGGCACACTTATCACCATCGTGGACTTTCAAGAACTCCACTAAATATGGGATGCCTGACATAACCCCTCGTCAATTTCATTACATCAATTTTCCTGAACATGTTCATCAAACCATCACATAAAATATAGTTGATTTATATGTTATTCGGGATCTTCACTGGGGATATGGGCTCATATTCCATGTCAGTGTTTTATACAGACACTGACAGGGAATATGAGCCCATATTCCTGTGAAGCACGACTAACAATTATATTATACTGGAGTGTCCTGATTTTAACATTATTTACCATTCTTATCGTCGTTTGTGTTCACAGGGGATATGGGCTCATATTCCCTGTCAAGGTGGTCAATCAAATTGCAAAATTAGCCGGGACATTTCACTCCAGTATAATATTACTAGATATGTTTTATTGTTAATTGCAATAGTTTTCGTTCTTAAAACGGATCCTCTTTTGTAGCTGACGACGGGATAACCAACGTTTCACGAAAATATCATCTGGTCAAAATTTAAATTATACACTCGGTCGCACATTTAGTTGAGCAGAGCTCCTATATAATCCTTAGAAAAACCGAATATAAGTGAACTTGATATTGTTGTCAGATAGGAAGTTCGCATGTCACTTTCTGTGCAGTCTTTCCTAATTCATCCTTCATACACACAATCGACTCGTTTGTCTGGTTCTCCTCTGAAATTGTTTTTAACGAAACCATGTTTAATTTGATCACTCGATATGACAACTTCAATGTTCTTCTGTGTTTGGCCTTTTTTCTGATTTTCTATAATCTGAATATAAACCTATTACAAACAAAATGAGATCAATATTATCATCTTCAATTATTTTTGGTGAATTTGAAAGGTTCTTTGCTTTCATCTTGTATTGACAGTGTATTATTATTATACGGTGCGTCACATATCATCATTACCTTCATGGACCTTGACTTTTTGCCTTAATTTTAATACCGATAATTGGTCAAATGTATTGGTTTAATATGCGTATCACGAATATTAATGCCTGCTAGCTTCACACTAGTCATTATTTCATTATTAAAATCTTTTTTTTTTTATTTAGACAAAAAATGTTCCGTATCCCTTTATCCACCTATCCTCTTTTATGAATACATATGTTTTTTCGACTGCAAACAATTTAATATTTCATGGTTATGGATATCTGCTGATCACCCTGCAGAAAAATGACACAAAGAATGGACTTAGGTACAGAAATATGGTCACCATGCCGAAGAGGGTGTTCGTGAGACTATGCCATATGTACGTATTCTATACACAAACACGCCCGCATAGAAGGGGAACGTTAAATCCGATACCTCTTGTAAGGACATCGACACGCTTTTTATATGTTAATGACTCATTGCAACTACTCTTCGACGGGTGGGGTACGTGGATTTGTTGAAGGGAAGTACCACTGTCCCTATCCAACATAACCTCATATTTCAGTGGTTGTCCAACGTTTCCGCCGTTCTATTTTGCAAAATCTGTTCACTGGAATTGTTGTTGATTAGTTGTTCTTCTGATTTCTGAATAAACATTAAGGGTTTGCTGGGTTATAGAAATGTGGTCATCGCGCGGCTTCTCCTATCAGACAATAACACCCATGCTTGAGAGGGACGCCCGTTTGGCTGTGTGGAATATATAAATACGTTTCAAAAACGTCCGATCGGCATGTTGACGTTTGTCCGATGCCTCGTGTAGGGAGTATGTCACGCTCTCTACAGTTGAAGAACAGTTGCAACAACTCTTTCAATGGTCTGCTGCGAAGCAAAATCTGTACTCCCTCCGAAACATTATATACTAGTACTTTATAGGGAATAAAAACTATTTTGGTTTCCTTCATTTCAAGTTTTATGAGTAATTCTTTTGTCTTGTGAGTTAGATGTTTTTTCTTGACGCATCCAGTGGCATGACCAATTTAAACTGTGGAAAATTCATACGTTAGCAAGAGTTACAGACAAAATATACAACTTCAGTTAATTTCGTTTTCCCGTCTAATGGTCTGACGATTTTGAATAATTACTAGCCTCTCACAAATACTGCCAAAACTCCAATTAAATTGGATGACGATACTTCATGAAGCCTTTTTACATTTGTTTTCGATAGTGATCTACCAACAGCTGTCGCTAACTTACTTCCTGAGGTAGCGTGCACATTTGGAACCCTCCTCAACAAATTATGTGCCGTACTTTTTCATTAGTCCTGTTAGGGGTGATATATTGGTAATTACTCTTTGCATGTTGCTTTTTAATAATTGTGATTTACTGTAATGGTCTTTGGCTAAAATAGGTCATAGGAGATGGTTTGTGCCCACATAAATCTGGTTAAACCCTACCACATTTTGTACCGATCATGTGTTGTTCGCTGTTGTTTGTTTTATGTCTTTTCGGTAGAGGCGGGGGTTAGTGGTTGGTATGGTTATATATTTCTTTTGATAATTTCTATTATTATTTTATGTTTTGCATGTGTTTCTGATGAAGGTAAATCCAGAAAAGCGCATTCGACGCATTAAATTAATAACGTTTTGGTTTCATTTTTTACAGCACTGGGTTGATACCTCTGCTGGTGGACTATCAGTCCCCGGGGGTATCATCATAATAAAGAAACTAAGGTTTCAACTCCCTGAGGCAAAGTTGACTATAGATAGATTTGGCTATTTTTTTAGGTCCTGTTTGGTTATATAGCTGTTCAACTGTCAGTTCTTGGCTTTCAAATATTCGGCTGTGAGCGTTCCTGATGAAGGTAAATCCAGAAAAGCGCTTCGGAAACATGAAATTAATAACGTGTTGGTTTTTTTTTATTACAGAACTAAGTCGATACTTCTGCTGGTGGACTATCAGTTCCCGAGGGTATCATTAGCCCAGTAGGCGGTACATCGAAACGAAATGATTTATAACAAACCTTTCTCAAATTGTCCGTTTATAAATTTGGAAATTATAAAGAAACGAAGGTTTCAATTCTCTCAGGCAAAGTTGGCCCTATTTGTTTAGGTCCTGTTGGTTATATAGCTTCAACTGTTTCGGTTCTTATACATACTTGGCTTTCAAATATTCGGCTGTGAGCGTCCCTGATGAAGGTAAATCAAGAAAAGCGCTTCGGACGTATGCAAAAATCAGATGTTGCTTTCAATTTTTGTAAATAGTAGTTAGTAATTACACTATCCTTTTTCTTCAGGTGAAATGGCGGAGGAAAATAACTTTTCACTAGATACTGGAAAATGTGTTAAGGAGTTGTCAGATTCTGAAAACAACAGTGTTTTGGAAAAGAAATCATACGATAAATCACTTACAAAAAGCAACATTTCGCAAAGCGATAATAGAAATTCTGAAAGTAAACATGTAGTTACCATATCAGAAAGACATCATTACAATTTAAATGTTGAAGACACAAAACAAAGTAAGACAGAGGAAAAAGAAAAAGAAATAGATTTTGTCATCAAATCGTTGAAAGAAGATTCCTGTGCTAAATGTAGCATTGATTCTTCCGAGTTATTACAAAGCGATGAGACACAGAGGAAAGCTACAGAAGATGAGTTTGAAAGTGAAACTGTTGTATTTGAGAATGATTATAATAATTTTGGTATTAATCAAACAATAATAAAAGAAAAAAATGAAAACAGACAAGATGGCACAGAGGAATGCGTTAAAAATAACGAATGTACTGTAAGTAGTGATTTCTCTTTAGAAGAAACATCAAATAGAAATGATCAGATGAAAACCATATCAGATGAACATCATGGACCTTCTGAAAGCATCATTATCACAACAGTGCATTCAAAGCAAAGCATGAACAACCCATCTTCTATTGACACGAACAACGGCTCACAAATTTGCGAAAACAAGTGTTCTTCAACAAATTTCGCTGACAAGACATCAAGACCATTAAAATATGATGGTTGCCAACATCTGAATGCGACCGAGGCTTCACAAATAAAACCGCCTGAGACAACATTTTCAATATTCGAGTTTAAAGCAAAGTCGGAACAATTGACACCCCGGAAGAAGTATAGAAGAAAGTGTACATCAGAAGCACATGTTAATCCACAGCGATGGCATATTGTACATTCTACTGATGGTTTGATTTATTGCAGCCCACATAATGAAATTGTTAAGTACTGGTGCAACACGTGTGGAATTTCAAAATGCGAAAAGTGTGTAAACGTTGTATATAGCAGGACTTGCATTAGTCATGTTGTGACGACAATTGAAGAACATGTTATCAAAACAAAGGTAGGTAAATTACATTGCATTGTTATCATAAACAAAAGTCGGTTAATTACTTGAGTCTTTTTTCTTTTTCTTTCTCTGAAATGTCAGAGACCAAGTATCAACCTGAACATCGAGATAACAATGTATTTATGTAAGATTTAATATAATAAAATCCTTTATACAACAAACTAACAATTTTGCAATAAATACTATAATATATATAATTAGTCAATTCTACCTAGATGATTTAATTATGCATTAAATGAAATGGTGCATCGGATGCATCGACTGTACAAATCACCAAATATCATACCTTTACTTATTTAAGGTACAATATAGCTGATTTGTATTCGACCAAGACCTAAATTTAAAATAGAAATTGAATTGGTCACCTTCCATACTTACTTATATTTTTAAACACGTTAGTAACCTTATAAATTCACTTTTTAGCTGCTTAGTTGTCTTAAAGAGTATCTGTCACATTGGAAATTATATTACATATAGTGTACACAACCACATTTAATCCACGTTTTCGTGAACTACAAACAGCTAAATTTTGTATGAGAAAAAACTAACCTCCAGAATATATGTTTGACAAACGAAATACTGTACTTGTTTGCGATACATAAACATTGTAAATAGCAGCAAAGTTTTGCAAAGTACAAGATGTTTGTAAAAGTATCAACAGACCAATTTCACGTGATTAATCTTTATATAAGTAAAATTAACTGGTATCAACAATAGTTCAGTTTAACTTAGTCAAAACTTTTTTTATTTGTCTTCATCAAGTAAGCAAACATGTAACTGAATTCAATGTGTTTTTATTTGTTTTAAATAAGTTTATTAAAAATTTTAATCAAATTCGATTGTTTTATCTCTCTACATGTCGTATATTGAATAATAGAAAGTTAAAACAATTACTTTAGAAGGCGGTTTGTTTTAAACATACTTCAGATTGAAGTAAAACTAGCATTGTTTCAAACATTTTTAACATGTATTTTAATTAGGAAGTCCAAAGGAAAAAGATCGAAGAGACAAGTAACATTTGTTTAATGACCTTAGATCGAGCTATCAGAGTTTTGCAACAAAATGAGCAGCAAACCGAGGTAAGTTTGAGAAAAATTATAGAAACAAAATCTTATGAAATATTGGGCTTCGGACTTCTTCTCATGAGCTTTGTTGATCCATTATTAATGAGTATCATATAGTACTGTGTACAAGAACGGAAAGGGTATGATAACAGCCTTTGGGATATGCGGAAGTCTTTGTAAGAGTAAATTGCTTTTAAAAAACAAACAATTAAAAAGCTGAAGTATCATAACGCCAATATTTTTGTCTCCATAATTCAAATCCATCTGTCATTAAGACATCAACAAAAAAAACAAGAAAATAACATACACTGTAAAATAAAAACATATGCAACTACAAAAACTATAGGAATCAATAAAAAATTCTGACAAAAATGACGTAATACCACTTAAGAAACACCACAGATGGAGGATGGATGGATGGATTGCTCGATGTTTAATCTGAAGTGGCAAATATAACATGCATACCAGGACGAGAACATGACATGTACATGTGATATGTAAAAATGTAAAAATATGTAAAATGAACCCTTATTTGTATTAGACGGACACGCAGAACAGAATTTTAAACGAAGCATCTCACATGAAAGGTAAAAGTCCGTATGACATCCTCACGGAAATATTATTTTGACACCGAACTAACCAATCTTTGCTCTTATACTTCTAAATATCGCGTGCTCAGCGGAAAAGAGGTAAATAACAACTTCTGACCGTTGTTCGAACTTACAACCTCCCGCACTCAAGGCGAGCATGCAACCGTAAGCAATTAATTAGTCTTCATAACATTGGTTTCGGCGGACAAAAAAGGCTAATATCATAGGTCCATGGTTACATGATTAACCATCATATTAAGTCTGATAGAAGTTTTATACAAAAGGCCAAAAAAATTTCTAGTTACAAGATATCCATTTCTAATCCTAAAAACTAGGGAAATTCCATTTTCTCAGAAAAAAAATTCATGTAGATGTATACAATTGAATTTTTTATTTAGAGACATTTTATTTATTCCCTTTAATATGTTTATTGTTTTTAAATGATTAAACCAGAATTACTATCCCAGTCAAATTGACTAGGACAAGGCATTTAAGCATGTTTATAACTTGAAAAACTCAAGTTTCATTATTTTACTTTTCAAATATGCATTATACAAATAAAAAAAAAATATAGAAGATTATCTAAGAAATTAAATTTTTAAGGGACTTATTTTCCTAGAAAATTTGATAGCATTGACTTTTATAACAACGAAAACGAACTTTTTTCATTTTTCTTTTTTTTATTTCTAGAATTCAGAAGAGGTATGATATAATTTTGAAAATCGTCGTGAACATGCATGAAATATTTGTAACTTGATGTTAAGCAAACAACAACCAATCAATCAAATTTGAGAAAAAATAAAAGAGATATTTTAAGAAATGAAGTTGTATAAGGACTTATTTTTCAAGTAAAATCAGTAACTTGGACTTTTATTACTAGGAAAATTCAATGTTTGTCAAACGGTAAATAATGTTCTCAGTCGTTTGCCTCCTGTAGGTAAGCACGTACTTGGCTTCTAGGTAAGGAAGTATATAGTTGAAAACCCACACATATCAACATGTTTTTATTTATTCAACATCGGCTAGAGGTTTAGGGGGATGGTTGAGATCTCACAAAACATGGTTTTGTTTTGCATCTATCGCAATTGAGGAACATATAGCCTTTGTAACTGTTGGGTGTTTTTTTTTAAAAAGGTTCGTTTGTATGTTTCGGAGTTTACAAATGTGGCGTACATTTCGCTGAACTAGTATACATTATAGTTTAGGGGCCAGCTGAAGCCCGCCTCCGGGTGCTGTATTTTCTCGCTACGTTGAACACTCATTGGTGGCCTTTTGCTTTTTCTTCTCTTTTGTCGGGTTTTTGTCTCTTTGACACACTCCCTGTTTCCATTCTCTATTCCATTGATGATGAACACTTTAAACTGAAACAATAAAATTACATGTCAACATCAGTGATGCCGTGTGGTCGAGGTTAGTATTTGTTTCCGTTTGGTATCATATTTGACCAATGGTTTTAACGTTTGCCATTTCAAACGGTTTGAAATATTAGCTGGATACATGTGTACATTTGACACTGGTGGAAATACTGTCAGAGTTTGATTTTAGGAAATTAGAAAAATGACAGATTGCTAAGAAAAAAAAAATACATATTTTAAAAAACTAAAAACTTCAAAATTTGTAAAATTTTGATAACAGATGCTCAATTTACTAGCAATTTAGCTAAATGATTTATTTTACCAGAAGCTACGATGATTGACATGTAAATCAACAAATCTCGTATACGGATTAGAGTGTAACCTTTGTGGATTAGTATATGTCGGAGAAAAATAAAGGAAGGCTTATTAAACGTATGCTCGGCCATAGATCAGACATTAACAACAATGCATATGACATTGATTATCAACATTTTGATAAGTCTAGTCATTCGATCCCTCTTATACGAGTTCTCATCATCGAAAAATATACCGTGCACTGGACCAACAATACTCACCTTCAACATATTTCCGTAGGCAAAAGGAAAACTAGTGGATTCGAGAATTGGGAACTCCGACACCATATGGTTGAAATGACATGGTATAGGTATTCCACCTAGTCCCTCCTATCGGTCTATAAATGTGATGAACATTTTCAACTCTTATCCTCGACGTAGAGGCAGCACATGATCATCGTCATTATACACCACCTTCTCTCTATGAAATCTTAGGGAGGGATGTATCGTACTTTGTATTTTGTAAAAACAATCACAATGATTCAAACAAAAATTTCTCTGAAACTGACATTATAACGATGCTTGATTTTTTGATATCTGTTACCTTTGGAGGACGTGTTTTTCAACAAACCATCGATATTAACATGGGAAACAACTGTTCATTTCTTCTTGCCAACTTTTTCCTTTATTCATATCAGGCTGACTTCATATAGGAGTTACTTGGGTAAAATGAAAAGAAACTAGCATTATTCTTTAATTTCACTTTCTGCTATAAAGATGATATCTCTCCCTGATAATTCAAAGTTTGGTAACTTTATTGTATGCATCTATCCCATCAAACTTGAAATAATGGATAATACAGATAAGTTAAGTCTGCCTTATATCTAGAAATTGACAATGAGGGTAGGTTGAGAACAAAACTGTATGACAAAAGAGATGATTTCAGCTTCCCAATTGTGAATTTTCCAATTCTATGCAGCAATATTCCATCAGCTCCTGCAAATTGAGGATATATCTCCTAGTTGATAAGATATTCCAACTATTGCATTTTCTATCATGATTTCCTTGATAGAGGGTTGCTGCTCATAAGGAAACTATTAAAACAAAAGTTGCAAAGGATGAAGTTGAAATCATCGCTTACGGACCCTACAAAGGTTGACCGTTATGGAATATCCTTTTCACACATGACGAAGGATATGATCCAATTGTCGTAACCACGATCCCGTCCTCTTTTCCTCCAATGTGGCCTACCGAATAAGACTAATTACTGGGTTTGTACTTACACGAGCAACACGACGGGTGCCACATGTAGAGCAGGATCTGTTTATCCTTCTGAAACAACTAAGATCACCCTTTGTTTCTACTTCTAAAAGGGGTTCGTGTAAATGTTGCTATTGTTTTGATTTAAAGTGTTGTTCCTTATGATTTTGTCAATGAGTGTGTTGTTTATACCGGTAACCGTCTCGATTATCCTTTGTCATGAAAAACATGTTTCTATTTCAAATTTTCACAGTCGGTAAAATTTCAAGTTTAGAACATTTACTTGACCGATCGTTTATTAATTTGATGATGACTTAGGGTTAGATAAGAGTCAATTACTAATCCGGTATTGTGTGATGCTGAATCATTTCATGTAATTAATGAACGTATTTTATAGGAGTAACACGACGGGCGTAGCATGTGGAGCATGATCTGCTTATCTTTCCGGAGCACCTGATATCGCCCCCGGTTTTCGGTGGGCTTCGTGTTGCTCAATCATTGGTTTTTTATGCTGTGTGTAGTATACTGTTAAATAGGCAGAACATATACCAAGTTATCTATTTTGTCAGAATTGTTTTCGAGGATGTTGTTGAATTTTTATTTTGTGTGTGTTATTTTCATGTAAGGCAGGGCTCAATTATGCATATTTTTTACAGATACAAAGTACGAATATGTCGGTTTTTAATTATTTCTACATATAAAATGTAATTCTAAGTGTACTTTAACTCATCATTCATCAGGATTTAAATTGGCATCTTTTATAACTACTTGCATATATTTGAGTCTTATTTGTCATTGAAGATGGTGAGTCGATTTTACTCATATTACAACATTTTTCAAAGCCATTTTACTTTACAGTTTGTATGAACATGGTGGTATTTAAAAAGCTTTTTTTAAGGAGAAGGATCTTATAGGGGCCTGCAAATTCAACGAAAATAAAACATTGTATTGTATCGGTATTAAACAGTATTTAAGCACCAGACGAAAGACTTTGCTTTGGAAATGAATTTATTCCAGCCTTGATAACAATTTGAATGCGTCACAAGTTAGAATTGTCAGTTTTTTGTTTTTGTTAATTTTAATAACATTTAGATTTATCATAAAGTGTTTGCAAAAACATATTTGTGTTGCCAGCGAATAAAACCCAAAATACACAAAAGCTTTGAATATCTTTCTGGGTGATGTATGTGTAAAGTCAACTTGTCAAGACTAAGTGTAATTTCGCTATTTTACTGAATTTGCTGTCGTTCTGTGACTATGTATTAAGTAGTATTTTGTTTTGTATAAGTTGTTTTTTGTTGTTGTTCGTTACATGAATATCTTAGAGCCACTTTGATCTATATGCTGCTTTATTCAGTTCAAAACTCTTTAATGCATACATGTACACTGTAAGATTGAAATCTCTGTTGCAGTTACAAGCATTAATTCAGAAAGACAGAATTCGACAGGAATTTGCATCATTCTATCATTTACTTATTGAGGAGGAACGCACAGTTCTGGATAATATAGATACGGTAAATCTAAACAGGTTTCGGCATTAACAAAATATTACAGACTTCATTTGTTTTGTTTGAAGACTTGACATGACATTAGGCCTTTTAACGAAGCACATATACGTTCGACATGTACGTGCGTTACGTCCAGTTTTGCTTCAATTGGCATAAAGGCTCTAGATGATAGTTTTTTGTTTTTTTTTAAATGAATTAGCAGTATTAGAATAAGGAGATGTGGTATGATTGCCTATGCGACCACTGTCAACAATATTCTAAGGCCAACTGCAGGTCACCATACGTCCTCTAACAATGAGTGAAACCCGTACCGTATAGACACCGTTTAAACACAATGTGAAACAAGACAACAGAGAACCAACGGCCTGATTTTATTTAAAGTTCATAACAATCATGTCAGACGGCACACAAAGACAACCACTGGACAACATGCTCGTTGCTTCGGGAATGCATATGCGGAATGTGGTGGATTTAAACATTTTTAGCACTAAATCTTCCCCTTAACTTTGACAGTGGTGTAACATCCCAACATAAGTGTAAAAATCTGTTAGAAAGGTCTTTACTTGTCACATCGATATTCAACACACACACACACACAAAAAACAAATAGACAAGACATCGCTACAAGAAGGAATTGAAATGGAAAGAAAATCTAACACTAGCCTTTTTGAGGAAGTTAGCCAACACTTGCAGACAGTTCAATGAAAACCAGCAATTGTTTTCGATGCTCAATTAACTCACATTTCGGGAATGATTCGAATACTAGTCATTGAAAACAAACTTAGAATTATCATCGAAAATTAACATTGGAAAGTATCATTTAATTGTTTAAAAAGTATAGAAAAACTATATATTGTTAACGACTGCGAACTTCAATCTGTTTAATGAATATACAATTTTCGATTATAATGCCGATTTCTTTCAGATTCAAACAAAAGTAACTATAATGATAACATCGTCTTAAGCTGAAACTATACATGCTTTAACATGCTGACTATATCTTTTCTTGATATTTGTATTTTTAAAAGTAAAAACATAATAAAGTCTACATGTGTGCCCTAGTGTAAATCTCTCAAAGAACTTTTAACAAAACCCTACTTAGTTTTAATTAATAACATCGTCACAAAATTTAAATGTTACATTTTGTTGAGTTCATTTTACATGGATTTATAATAAAAATGATTTTATGCTACAAAGAGACTTGAGGAATATAGAACACAGAACAGATCTTATGAACAATTATATGGTTCTATTGTTGAATATGAAGCTGACTTGATGAGTAAAAGCTTAAGTCTTTTGGAAAAAGATGATCCATTTGGAATTAATTTAAATGTAAGTATGTAAATGAAACTACCCTCTACAATTATCAATAACGTAAATTTTAAGATAAAGATTTTCTAATAACGAAGTGAATAGAATTGATAATGGAAACGGGGAATGTGTCAAAGAGACAACAACCCGACAAAAGAGCAGAAAAATTGCCCAAGGCCAACAATGGGTCTTCAACACATCTCGCACCAGCTGGCTCCTAAACAATAATGTATACTAGTTCAGCAAAATGAACGCCATACCAAACTCCGAAACATATAGATGAACCAAAATTTAAAAAAAAAACAACCAAGACTAATAAAGGCTAGAGGTTTCTGACATGGGACAGGTGCAAAAATGCGGGGGGGGGGGGGGGGGGGGTTAAACATGTTTTGTGAGATCTCAACCCTCCCCTTTACATCAAGCCAATGATGAATAAACAAACACACAGCAATACGCACAGTAAAACTCAGTTTAAAAGAAGTCCGAGTCCGATGTTAGAATAAGTAACAGAAGAAACTAAGCAAAATGACGATGATCAACATAAATTAACTAAGAACTACTAACAGTTACTGACATGCTAGCTCCAGACCTCAATTAAACTGATCAAGATTATGTCTTCATCATATGAAAATCAAGCACAATCCCTCCCGTTAGGGGATTAGTACCATGCCTTCATAAATTATACGAGAGGAACATAACCCGTGTCATGCAAACAACTGGTTTTAGAATAAATGTTTTTATTTTCGATGCATAGACATTATGAGTGAATCAATATTAATTTTTAAAAATGCCATTTCTAATGACTTGACAACAGTATCGTAACTATATCCAGTTCTGAATAAGTCTGTTTAAAGGTTTGGTTAGCCTTTGAGGTGAATGACGACATTTTTTGTGCTTTGTATAGAATATTACCATAAATGGGATGTGAAATACCTGAACACACCATAAGATGGTGCCATGGGAACGTCACCATCTAAACATCTAAACATGGATAATAAACAATAGGAAATGAAAAATCATCTCTTTTATCGTAAATTTTAGTTGTAAGCTTCCTGTTAAATATATAGATATCAAGATCCAGGAAAGGGCAGTGTTCATTGTTAGTATAAGCTTTTTTTAAAGTAAGTTCAACAGGATAAATCTCTTTAGTGTGCATACTGAAGTTGTCATTATTGCGAACCAATATATCATCCAAATTTCTAAAAATATTTGTATCAGATGTTGTTCCGATGGGTCTTTGCTGATTTTAGTCATAAATTGTAATTCGTAACAATACAAAAAGGTCCTCAATAAGTGGTGCCCATTTTGTCCAAATTGGAATTCCGATAACTTGGCGATATACAGAATCTCCATAGCGAAGACAAATATTATCTAGTAAAAATTCAAGTGCAGTTATCATATCAAAGCAGGTCCAATTGACATAGTTCTTTTGTTTGTTGTTACCAAAAAAAAGGAACTTAAAAGAGTTTGAACATATATATTCGCATTCTGACTTTTTAAATGTAGAAAAATCAAAACTTTGAATGTTTGGTAAGAAAAAAAACAGTTATGTTATTCAAATGTCACGAACAATGTATTCCATCGCCATATCTGTGTAATGTCTTGTTTGTGCTTCTGCTTTATTACCATCCTATTGCGTTGCAAAGGCTTCTCATTGGCATGTATCAGACAGCTTCCTTTAATCATATCTCTGTTTTACATAGAATGTTATATATATAAAATATTGGGTTTTTTGTTTTTTTGTTTCTTAATTTAGATGATCGAGAAATATATTCAGAGAGAGTAAGTACCTCGATTAAGCATTTACAATTTACAACAAGTACCAAAAAGCTCTGTGCAACGTTACATACCACAGAATTGGCGGTTTCAGAGCAGGGATTTATAGATTGGAAAACCCCTCCTTCCTTCGGAATGTTTATTTCAAGTCACTTTAATAAAATTGCGAAGATTGGGCAAGCTGACTCACCACCTTTTCCCTACGTGAAACTCTGCCTTCAAAAAAATTCTTGATCTGCGCCCGTGTAGTATATAAATGTATATTGCTTGTAAAACCGTGTAACAATAATCTTTTTTAGAATTAGATGCCTTAATGTTACCAATACAACCTGTTTGAATAAAATGCCAAGTTGATTTTTAACGAGATATTGTAATGAAAATAGTTTACCGCTTTTATTTCACTAGGGTTTAACTTATTATTACTTTAATAAAGTAAAGAATATTCCGATCAGCAATCAATCAAACGTTTTACAATATAGGGTTAATGTATTCTACAAACACATAGGAATAATATATTTGGTATCGTCAAAAGCAAATGGAATAGTCCAATACCTAATACATGATTCACTGTCAGATAAGGGGTCGCTTAATGGATAGTCAAGACGATTATAAGAAACAAAAAGGTTATAAATAATTGATTAAATAGATTCTGAAAAAGAATCTATCTGCGTACCTGAATAAGGCTGCAGGGAATATTTGAATATATAATTTCAAATTGAACGTAAGCAAAGGGCGCATTGTTACAGCGCACAGACAGCTGTAAGATTATAGTGTACAGATATAGAAATGTACTAGTAGAGCATAGTTCAGATAGTGCACATGTAGAACATAGGTCAGATAGTGCACAGGTAGAGCATATCATAGTTCAGATAGTGCACTGGTTGCCGTTCGACATATCCTGACTGTGCAAAGTCACGAACACGCTCTATACATTGGTAGCGGGTGTCAGAGGCCTAATTTACAAGTACACGATAAAAATTCAAGAAACGGTGCATATTCAAATATCAAGGGGGGTAAACTAAGGTACAACTCCCAGTAGTCACTACCACGAGTGCGTGACATAATTTTGGTTGCAGTAGTGGGATATTGGTAAGAGCAACAGCAAATGATTAAAACATGGGCGATTTATAACAGAAGCATGTACGTTGGAGGAAGAGGTTAAGCAAATTATGGTGAAATTGAGGAAAACTCAAAACCTTGGTTTTGATACACAACACCCTACTCTAAATGAGCAAACCAGAAACCGGACGGATTCAGGTATTATTCAGTTAAGGCGACGGGTTTTCGCGATAACATTGTTAGGACGTCACGAAAGTAATCATGACCTGGGGGTGCATTCTAAGCAAATGACGCACAGCATAACTAGTGCCGCGCCCGCGACAAGTAGCAGAAGTTAAGTGAAGATTTCTCCCAGGAAAAAGTACAAATGCCTGGAAAGACTTCGAGAAGAAAACCCAAACTGGCCAATTATGATGAATCTGGCGAATAGGCTGATTTTAAATCCCATGTTGATGCATGATCAATAAGTGTGATGAATATTAAAAGGGGCTTTACTTTGCCACTGCCCTCCTATACAAGACCAGTGTCTTCAGCGATTTACCAACAGACAAGAACATGAGTTATAAGTAAAAGCATTAGGAGAGCGTGTTGCTCCTCCCTCCCTCCCAATTAGAACGAACTGTACAGAGTACAGTTGAAGGAAAGGCGTCAATGTGCAAAGGAAACCTTGTCGGAATTAGGACAACCTATACGGTAATTAGTGAACAGAGCATACCCACTCTCACCCATTGAAAGAAAGAAACATTATCAAAAGGTCATTTCATAGATGCATTGCACGATAGCGAGATAAAGATTAAGGTTCCGTCGAGCTTGAGGTGTTCTACAAAGCAGAGACAAGAATTTGGAAAACCTCAAATGCGGGCTACGCATGCAGATACGTGTACACCAGAGATATCTAAAGACTATAGTTTTTAAAAAATGATAGATTCGTTCTCTAAGCAATTAGAATCCCTTCGTATGGAGTTATATGAATTCAAAAAGAGCGGGCAAAGCAATGCCAACCAGGAATGAAAATAGAAGCAGCAATCTTACCGCCACGGGAAATATTGACATTTTCAGCGAGAGTGTCGGCATACGAAAGCAGGGCGGCAATGGGAACGGTCATCAGAGGAACTCCGAGAATGGCTAGAACATTCTCAAATAAAAAGACAGCGGTCAAAACCGATCACATTCAATGTCCTAAATAACTAGACGAAAGAAGCAGGGGCATATAAAGACGAAGATATAGGAAATAAAAAGTTTCATCGAAGTCACAGTAACCACTGTCACTCACATATCACATAAACTATTCTATACTGTGAGACAAAGCTCAAACAAGTGTTCAAACTATTATGTCAGCAAACGGAACTACACTAAACGTTATTGGAAAAGAGGAATTTGGATTCGACAAAAAGAATACTTGGCAGAGGTCAAAGTAGCTGATCTGGCTATATAGGGTATAATTGGTTAAGATTTCTTCAGGAAAAATCTATGTCGGATTAATTTACAAAGTGAACATATGGTTTGTCGTAAACAGAAGATACCGCTGAACTATACTGGGCAGCTTTGTTACTATAGATTGTAAGTATCCAAATATACATGCGGATATAGCCATAGTACAAGCTTTGGTCCGAGGTCGTATGAAAGATTATCTGTTAACAAATAGTGAAGTGGTCATAGGAATTATTGAACCATTTGACAACTTCATTGTGAAAGATAGCGCCTTAGTGTCAAGAACTCTAGTGAAAGCCTCAGAAAACGTACCACTGCGTTTTATGAATGTATCAAATAATGTGAAGACAATCATAGCTAGGACAATTGTAGGTAATATGAGCCCTGTCTAGGACATGATAAGCGACAACGAAATAGTACTGTTAAGCAAACATGACAAAGGGACCAGGACCTAGGTGCTGATTTAGAAAAGTGAGTAGTTGCAGCCATTATCTTAGCTAAAAGCAAAAGCGAGGATTCGAAAATCTCCTTTATGAATACAACATGTACAAGGACCTTTTTCAGCCTCAGACAGGTAGAACTAGCTTGGTGTTCCACAACATTCATACAAAAAATAACGCACCAGTAAAACAACGCCGTACATTTATTTTTTTGCAAGATTAAGTAGATAGACATATCAATGACATGCTGGAACATGTAGAAATTGAGCCAGCCGAAAGTCCATGGCCTTCTGGGATTGTATTGGTAAAGAAATACAGCGGAACTTCGCGCTTTTGTGTAGATTATCGCAAGTTTAACGATTTGACTTAAAATATTCATTACCGCAACCTCGCTTCGACGACTCATTAGAACAACTGTCAGGAAATAAATGGTTTTCTACTACATACCTTTGTTCAAGGTAATGGCAGGAGGTAGTGGAAAAGAAAGATCACCCGAAAACGACATTTGCAACCCGACGGAGACTGTTTTAATTTCGACAAAGGCCATTTGATTTGGCGCGCGCGCCAGTAACTTTCGAAAGATTGATGGAAAGGGTATTGGCGGGACTACAGTTGAGTATATGTCTCCGTTTTCTGGACGATATAATTCTAAAGTCATTTGATGAGTTCCTTCAGAATATTCGTTCGTTATTTGATCGGTTGAAGGCAGCTGGCATAAAGCTTAAGCCCAAAAAATGCACACAATTTTCAAAGCCTTCGGCATGTCGTCACCGAGTAAGGGGTAGCCACCGACCCAGAAAAGATAAAGAACATACAGGATTTTCCCATTTCAGTTGATGCGAACTGTACTCATTATTGTATAATGTTCAGGTGTAGATATAGTAAAGTTGCATAGAAGCTTCTGCTACCCGAGGAAGATTGGGATTGATGTTGGGGGTTATGGTCTTAAGGGTTTAGGAATTAGGGGCCAAAAAAGGGGCCCAAATAAGCATTTTTGTAGTTTCTAGTCAATAACTTGTGTTTAAGTGTATAAATCTCTCTGAAATTATACCACAAGTTTCCATACTACAAAGGGATGGTTATGGGGGGTAATGGCCCAAATCATTTAGCAATTAAGGGCAAAAAAGGGGGAAAACTGGGGTTTTTCTGGTTAGTGGACAATTTAGACAATTTAAAAGCAGTGTAAGGGAGGTAATCCAATTTCCATTTAAAGAATACTGTTATATATACGTTTGATTACCTCCCTTACACTGCTTGAAAATTATGTATTCAGAAATGATGATTGTCTTGAGATGATTAGCCGTAAGAGTTACTATGAATTAATATTAATTTTAACCATGACTGTATGTCATTTTATATTTTAATATTTTATGACGTATTTAAATTAGTAGTTATTGTTGCAAACTCCATTAGAAATTTGAATTGAGATTATTTTTGGAATAAGGGTAAGGGGGGGTGAAAAAAAATTTGGGGGGGGGGGTGTTAATAAGAATTTGTGGGGGGGGACAATTTTTCTCATTTCAGATTTCAGAAATTAAAAAGAAAATTTCTTCAAATATTTTTTTTTATGGGATCAATATTCAACAGCATAGTGTATTGCTCAAAAGCAAACAAAAATAAATTTTAAGTTCATTAGACCACATTCATTCTGAGTCAGAAACCTATGCTGTGTCAACTATTTAATCACAATCCAAATTCAGAGCTGTATCAAGCTTAAATGTTGTGTCCATACTTGCCCCAACTGTTCAGGGTTCGACCTCTGCGGTCGTATAAAGCTGCGCCCTGCGGAGCATCTGGTTTGGTTTGTGTTTGAATCATATGCAGTCATAATATAAAAGTTGATAATGATGTATCCATTTCATTAAGTTTCACTGGTACAATTTTCATAGTGAACACAATATACAATCAATACCATTCAGTGTCAATGAAACCTAAAATAATATTTAATCGCATTTTAAATGTTACCATGATATTGCACATTTACAAAGGGACGATGTACGGTTTTTACATATAACTCTTTCTTTAAACTTTTATTAGTTGGTTGAAGATTCAAGACAATGTGAATGCAGTTATTAATTCAATTCAACCCATGCCTACAGCGATAAGAAATAAATTCACTCTCCTGGAGCAGAAAATAGACACCATGAAACAGCTGAGTAACGGTGAGGAATTTTCTATGAAATGTAAAATTTTTACTAATCTTAAAAATATCACTTAAGATTGACACAAATTGATCAAATATTTACTAAACATTGCTAATGGTGTCATGGTACCCCGTTCAAAATCTGTTCACTACAATCTTGATATCTCCTTCAATTCTTAAACATGTATTTTTCAAGTTGACGTGGATATTTGTCTTGACATAATAAGTCGTTTGACAATTAATTCAAAGTTTAATACCACGAATAGAAACATTATTGCTGAATTTGATATTTCATTTAGGTCTAATCTCGAAATAATATCCAGCGAAAACATTATATTAAGTATACAATTAACACATAATTTTCGTATACCTTCTTCAAAGTGACATTTTAGGACCATATACAGACCGACAGTTTAATAGTGTTTAAGTTGATAATTTAACCTACCATATTTGGCTTTATACAAGATTTTTTCATTAGTTGTTATTGGCTTTGAACTAGTTTTCAGTAACTGTGAGTACTCTCAGATCTGTACTTTGTGTCTTTTTTGTTGTTAGGGATGTATAAATACCCTGCCACGTCCAGTCTGTCTTTTTATAGGATGTTTTTCTGCTTTGTATCGATCTGATGCGTAAAGCCCTTTTCATCTGAATTTTATAGTTTGTCCTTGTGTTGTGCTGTAACACCACTGTACCAGGTTAGTGGAGGATTGAGCACTCACACAAACATGTTTAACCACATTCTGTATGTGACTATTCCTAGTCAGGAGCATGTAGTTCAGTGGTTGCCGTTGGTTCATGTCTGTCATATTTGTTTTTCGTAAATTGTTTTGTTTTAAATTAGGCCGTTAGTTTTCTCAATTGAATTGATTCGTATTTTTCATGTCGGGGCCTTTTATAGCCGACTATACGGTATGGGTTTTCCTCATTGTTGAAGGCCGTATGGTTGCCTATATTTGCTTACATCCACTTCATTAGAAATTTGGTGGATATTTGTCTCATTGGCAATCATACCACATCTCCTTATCTTTGTATTGAAAATTTGATAATGGTCCTTATCTGAAAATACCATAGAAGTCATTGCATTGGAGAGTGCAACAAAAATATTCAGAAATTATACTCCAACTCTACGAATTGGGGCTATATTGGGATCACCTTTTCTGTCAACCTGTTCGTCCAACGCATATTATCGTCACACGTTTCTCAAAAACCTGCTTATCTGATTGACTCCGTATGTCAGCAACTAGACAATATACGTTGTAGCATATGAGTACTTTTGGAAGCTGTCAGTCACTAACCTTTGGTTTGCCGATGCGTTAAATTTTTCAATATATTGACTGGAAAAAAAAAGAACTTTCGACACACATTTCTCCATTACCTATCAAACACATTTTTGCTGATGTTTTTCCATTGCTAGTGGGAGTGTGTTTATAATTAAAACGACCTTGTGTGCCTTCTTAATTACATTGCAAAATAAGACTTTTCCATTCCTATATCTAAGATAAACGATACTCCTCCTCAAATTATTATTATGTTATGTCTGTTTGTTTTCCTCACACATTGTTGTCAATATAATGGAATTCTATGCGACTGTCATAAAAGTGAGAGGTTTAGCTAGCTATAAAACCAGGTTTAATCCACCATTTTGTATATAAGGAAATGCCTGTACCAAGTAAGGAATATGACAATTGTTTTCCATTCGTATGATGTGTATGAGCTTTTGATTTTGCCATTTGGTAAGGGACTTTCCGTTTTGAATTTTCCTTGGAGTTCGGTATTTTTGTTATTTTACTTTTTCCTTTATGAACCTTAACATAAATTTCATCGATAATACGTAGCTCAACTATAACAAAGTTGTGTGTACTTTTTTTCAGCACGAGATCCATTTGAAATTTGTCCTTTGAACTTTACATTGTACTTAGATGACAAAAGTATGGAGTCTCCAATAAAAATATCCGACCTCTTCATATGCAAGAACTCCAAGCATATATTTCCTACAGTTGATCTTGTTATTGAGGTTCTCTGTGGTCGAATAGTTGTGTATAAAGAATCTTTGAAAATGTATGACTACATATTAAATTTTGACGGTAGACCTTGTTTGATTGAATGTAATCGCTATTTGATAAAGGCACGACTGCTCGATAAGACGAGGAATGGAGCAATCATTGGAGATACGATTCCGCCTGTATGTAGGAATGTTCTTCTTATAACGGGTTCGTATAGGGTTTTAGTTTAAAATTATGATTTATATTTTTATTTCACTGTTCATTTAAAAATTGAATATTGATAATTTTTGTTTCGAAAGAATCAAAATGAATTAACTTGTTGAATTCTTACATTTTTGTATGTTACCTCGTTATTTTATTTTTATTTTTCTGTTTCTCATGAACTTTTTATAAGTATACAATAAATGATTGATTTACAGATAGATTAAGTTTAATCAAAATCAAATAGACAAGAAGAGATAAATTAATTATGCAAAATATCTTCATACAATTGACAAAACCCAAAGCATAAGAACGGTACTATTTATTGCTAATCTTAATCGTGATAAAAATTTTAAAATTCTATTATGGGGCAAAAGCTCAAACTTTAAAAGTTTAATACGACCTCAACAACTGGTTTGGGAAGAATTATTCACCCCGCAATTAAATGCATTATTTTCAAGGATAGAGAAATGTGTTACTAGTGATACAGTGATTAAATAATTCCTATTTTTATTTTTCTCTGATTATTCAATACTTCTATAGTGTGTAAATTCTTTTAACTAATGGTACAACACATTGTTTAACCTTAATTCGTTGCTTTGTTGATCATAAAAGGGTAAGTCATAATACTATTTTAGCCTGTATTTTCTTTCATTATATTTATTATATCCTCGCTTTCTAAAGCGACGGTTTTTAATCACATAATATACCTTTTCACCTTCTATTTCATTTTTTTATCTGAATGATTTTCGGGGTTTACTTTGGGATGATATGGATATCTGTACACTATAGTGAACATTTGTTTTTATATCAGAATCGTGTTCTCGAGTTTCCTTCAGCAAATCATGTGCGCATTACAGTACACATTTATATCCTGCTCTTTTTGCCTACTCAAAAGTGTCGAAATTTTCAAAATAATTTCAAAGTGCACCTCCTATTTTTTTTTTATAACAATTGTTTTATGGGTTTTCTAATACCATAGCATGTTATTTGCAAGGGTGGGATATCATTTTTTAACAAAGCTCAGTCTTTCAAGTTTTAGACTGTTTCGCTTATTATTATTATATTATTAATCCTTAGTACTGCTCCCAACTATCAAATACTATCCACTTATCACAGGAACAAAGATTCAATACGAAAACAATATGATTATAATACATGATAAACTATCACATGTTTTTTTTAAAGGTAAAAGAAAACGTTACTGGTATTCACGCCAACAATATGAAGACGCTGTCAGTTATATGGAAGATATAAGGAGACAATACATAGAAAAATATCCGACTTTTTCAGAAAGACATAGTCAACAGTATGAATGAATCAAGCTTTCCTAATATTTACATATTACACATTTAAAAGATATGATACATTTCTTAAATATTCATTGCATGAAAAACATTTAAACAGCAGATGCAACTTGGTAGAGGTATCAATTCCGTGAAAATCAGGTTTAGACTCAAACATTATAGTTCAGCTTGTCATAACAGAGCAATGTGGTCCAAAAATTATAATATTGTGTAGTTTGCAAATACTGCTGAATGAATTTCGTACGTCCGATTTTTTGGTTTATCCTAATCAGGAACGCTCAATCCGTAAGTTTGTTTTAATGATTAAACTTGTGCCATTAAACATTGGTTAACAAGTACAATGAGATACCAGAACGTTGTTACTTAATACATGTGTAAGTACTGGGCATTACGGTTAGAACTGCATTCTCCAAGTCTTAGATATAGTCACATACGTTCTAAAAGAGAAGTCTTTTTTTAATAATCACTATTGTGTAACGGTCGCAAATCTCGAAATGGTAAATTGGTATCCTAAATTAGAGTAGACATACTTTTTTGAACGTCTAAAAGGCTTCACCTACCATTACCAAATTTGACAATTGCTGCTGTATTGATCATTTACATCTTTAACTTCCGTTCAACTAGACCTGCATCAGGTCCGACGCAGAAAATGGTTACTTTTCTGTAGCACGTGCTATTATTCATATGCTTGTTTTTCGAATTTGTTTTTTTTCTTTTTTTTTTTTCTTGGTACTCTTGTTTCTCTATTTGAGTTGTCTTGTTTCGATTTTTAACATAGTAATATAAAATAGAGGTGGTATGATTGTCAATGAGACAACTATCGGCATTCAACATGAGCAAACCCATACCACATAGCAAGCTATGAAAGTCCCCGGCAGGACAAAATGTAAAACAGTTCAAACGAGAAAACCAACGAGATGATGCACAAAACAACAAATGAAAAACTAATTGATAAACAGCAACATACGACAATCACTGAATTACAGGCTTCTGACTTAGGAAAGGCATAAATAGATAAATACATAGACACATACTAATATAAGAATAAGGAGATGAGATATGATTGCCAATGAGACAACTATCTACCAAAGTTCAAATAAAGTGGATGTAAGTAATTAATAAGATTGGTTCATTTAGCTGTAATTGACATGTTCGTGAAATCGGTTTCTCTCATGTCCTTCGTAAATGTTTATAAATTGATAGAGAGGGATATATGAATGTTGAAGGGTTTCAAATTTTAATTGTAAAAAGTAAGAGTCGATTTACTAAATCATTTCTACACTTACTATTGTAAATTGATCAGAGCAACCAAAGAGACTTCAAACTATGTTCTAGTTATGAGTGTTCCTCGTCGTAGAATTCGTACCAAAGGGACGAAAAAAAATTTCTCAAAATATAAGAATGACTATATATTTATTTAAAATAAATGAATTACTGGTACTTATAGGTTTTTACACTGGTGTGACTCAAAGATGTGGATTTTCTCCGCAGCAAAGGGCTTTAAAGGTAAGATATAAGTGCTTAAGAATAGAAAGCAGTCAACCCCCAGACCCAAATTATTGTTCTTATCATTAACACTAAATAATTCTTTAAACGAGCACATTTCTTAAGTATCTTACATTTGTTACAGACACAAATTTTTTTAAAATTTATCGAAATCAAAGAAAAGTAAATACGTAAAACAGTATAAAAATGCAATGTTATTGATTAGTAAACGGAAATTGTTCTAAATATAATGAAAAAAGACATAAATTGAATACTTACTCTTTTTGATATAAATTTCATGGTTGATAAACGAAACCAACAAAATCATATAAAATAACTTAAATACGAGTAAATAAAATAAACATTATGTACTTCCAAATACTTTTCAATAGATAGCCTGCTGTCCGAGGAAGTTCGTCCATTCGTAAAAACATTGTGCAACGATAGTTCTACCTAAACAGGTACCCGTACGGTATAAATATGTATATCTTATACAGAGGTCAGTTGAAGCTAGAAATGTATTTTTGGCGTCTAAACAGATAGCAGTACGCAATTTTACGAAACATGGAGCAAATACTGTACATTTAAGATAGAAATCAGTTTAGGTTACACGAATTTAAATCTTAAATTAATGATTTTTAAAAATTTTCCAGATGCACTGCTAAAAGAGCAATCGTTAATACTGAACTTTTGCATTAGAATGTAAAACATGGGACACCAGTCAAAACTAAGTTGCATCGGTTAAATCATGATGTCAGTAACGTACAAAATGCTGCTATAGGAATTTTTTGCTGTTCCGCAGATGAAATTTCATAGGCGGCCGCTGGTCTGTGTTACTGGGGGAAACAACTTTCTCGGCTGCTTGTTCGGGATGAAAATTTCATAGGCAGCCGCGAGTCTGTGTTAAAGGGGAAGAAAACAAAATTCCCCGCTGATTGTGCGGGATGAAAATTTCATAGGCAGCTGCTGGTCTCCTCGGGTCTGTTACAAGGGGAAAAAAATCTCCGATGATTGTCCGGTAAGAAAATTTCATGGGCGGGCGCGGGTCTCCGTGTGTCTGTGTTACAGGGGTGGGGGGAATTTCTCCGCTGCTTGTGCGGGATGAAAATTTCAGCACATCTAGTTTCAGTTATTTTGGCGTTAACACAATGTTTATCTTGTATATTTTCTTTAAGAAAAAACTTAAGTCAGTGTAACAATATCTTTACTATAATACACCGTGTTTACAAATTGATATTTAATAGAAATAAGATGTGGTATGAGTGCCAATGAGACAACTCTCCATCCAAGTCACAATGTGTATAAAGTAAACAATTGTAGGTAAAAAAGTACGGCCTTCAACACGGAGCCTTGGCTCACACCGAACCGCAAGCTATAAAGGGCCCCAACATGACAAGTGTAAAACAATTCAAACAGGAAAACCAACGGTCTAATCTATATAAAAACGAGAAACGAGAAAAGGTTAAGAACCACATCAACAAACGACAACCACTGAAACAGGTTCCTGACTAATGACAGGTGCAAACAAATGCATCGGGTTAAACGTTTTAACAGGCGCCAACTTTCACCCTATTAAACCTGAAATAGTAGTATAAAATTACAACATAGAAAGCACAGTTGTATGCATGTACTTCGCGGTAAGAAAAATATTAGAACTTTTTTCTGAATAGAAAACAAATTAAAGTTAAAAACCTGGAGATGGCCAAAACCGCAAATTTTACAATTGTACGAAAACATAACATTTTCAACTTTTTACCAAAACAACTACCAACAAGCGCCGATAGGAGAAAGGAAATACCATAACTCTAAGAGTTTTGAAAATATATAGAAGAAAACGGAACTACGTAAACACATTACAGACAACCCTAAAAATAGAAAACCAAATATATGTCATGTTGTCCATTTGAAGTAGCAACAATGACGTCGTTCTTTCTTCTTTCATGTTCATCACCAGCTTCGACCAACTAATGGATTTATACCTGTTTAAGGGGTGCCACTAGTAGAACTGTAATCGATAAAACATTTGGGAACCGTAGATCACTCTTACCCAAATAATTCAGCCCCTCCCCGTGATCAATCTCTTCCACTCGCGCTAGCATCGATTCGTATTTTTCACTAGATGTTTTGAGCATAATAAACAAGGAAATAGCACACAAGGTTTAAAAGAAATGTTACAAGCATTTGTCTATTTTGTATTACAGGTTTTTATGATGTTAGTCCTGAAGAAATGAGAATGTTAGCATACAGTACAGATAAGCATACTTATGTGAGTTGAGATTTTTTTATGATACGTTCTATAGATGACCAATTAATCGCTATATATACCATGACTTTGGTATAAAGTAACGCCAATCCTTTGGCAAGCTTTGAGCCTCTGGCCTTTGTTAGTCTTGTATCATTTTTAATTTTAGTTTCTTGTGTATAATTTGGAGTTTATTATGACGTCCATTATCACTGAACTAGTATACATATTTGTTTAGGGGCCAGCTGAAGGACGCCTCCGGGTGCGGGAGTTTCTCGCTGCATTGAAGACCCATTGGTTGCCTTCGGCTGTTGTCTTCTCTATGGTCGGGTTGTTGTCTCTTTGACACATTCCCCATTTCCATTCTCAATTTTATTTGAATACAACATATTTTTTTTTCAATATTAAGCATGATTATTAAGTAACTGCGTTATTTTCACAGTTTAACAGTTTATATATGTTGCCGTTGAATCTCATCAAAGTTACTAATAAGAGAGATATTACCCTGTTAAATTATATATCTTTCTGAAGTTTTTTGCATCAACATAATCGTCGGTTTAGCATGTGCTAGACCTATCACCCAAATGGAATAAATAATCTGATCGGAATATCACAATTGAGAAATAGATTACTATGAATTTTTGTATCATGGGAAAAATATTACAAAGTGCAAATAACTAGTTTTAAGGCAAACATTTGGTTAAAGTCGAGTGACATTAACCATAAAATTCCATTTAAAATGCACCACCTAACATACTGCTAAACCATATACCATTCGAAAGTATATTATCTGTACTATCTTTTTTGCCCGGTCGTTAAAAATTCGGACGTTGCAATTGCCTGTAAAATCACGATGAAAGTTCAATGACGGACAATTTCTTATTTAAGAAGACGTCAGCATTTTTGCATATTCTGTCTTCTAGAAAATGAAATTTTGTAGTGAAATATGAAAAACTTTGAGAATAGAGAATATTATTCAATTTTCTGTTTACAAAGCACTGAATTTTTCGAAATACTACGGATTTTCTACCCTAGGAATAGATAACTTTGGGTCCTCAGTTTTCCACCTTCGTGCTTTATTTGGCTTTATTTCCATTTTGATTCGAGCGTCATTGATGAATCTCTTGTAGACGAATCGCGCGTCGTGCGTACAACATTTAAAGTATGGTATATCTATGAGAAGTTTATTTACATCAACTAACAGTCAATATCAATTGACTTGAACATTCTAGCAATTCGCAAGAGTTATAATAAAATATTATAAATACACTTCCTAAATAGTTAAATTATACATGTAGAATATAAAGCTAAAAAGAAGGAAATTACGGTGTAGGTGTCAAACCAACAATTCAACCAACCATCACCAATAACGTTTTTGTAAAAGTAGGCAACACCTAACAAAGCATAGTTTATTTCATAGTGCTGCGCTAAGCCCTCTGTCGTTGACCAGGCAGGGATTGTTTTGGCGATTTTTACACTTTATTTTCAGACTAAAGAAGAACGAGGTTAATTATATTCGCTCTATGTTTTTATTCACAAAAGTCGCGTAAATAAATTGGTTGCCAAAATTAGTTGGTTTGAAGTATTGTCTTTTCCAAAACTAAATCATAAAGAAAACTCCTCAAACTTTATTCATAATTTATTTTCATTCTTTACATTCCAATACTTTGCATGCTTTAATCTGTTCGTTTGGTTATCTGATTGTGCGAAGATCTCATATCTGCAATAATTGTATGATAATATGAGCTGCGTCGGATAAAAATCGACCTTATGCAAGTGCACGTATACATGTACATGTATAAGACTTTTGATTGATTTTTGGACATTCAAATACGAAATAAGAGATGGATTTTGGTCTGTTTTGTAGGGTTCTTATATCAACTCAATTTTCAAACAGTTAAACTCACGTCAGACTCTGCATAGAGATTTGTTCAACCCCAAAATAGGTTAACAGATGTATTGATATTGATTTGCATAAGGTCGATTTCTATCCGACACAGCTTATATTATTTGACTTAAAAAAATATATATATATATACAAAATGGTATTTTTAAATGTGAGAAAAACAAGCGTTAGAAATGATATAACTCAAAAGCAGGACTGTAATGGTGAATTTGAGTTGCTTGATAATAAACTCTATTTGAATGTGTTTATCATGAATAATTCCTTTCATGTATATTATCCATATGTGCACTTCAAAACTTTGACCTTCACTAAAATGTACCAGAGTAAAATCACAAAAATACTGAACTCCGAGGAAAATTCAAAAATGAAAGTCCCTAACAAGGCCGTAACTAGGTATATTATTTTAGTGAGGCAGAACTAATCGCCGAGCGGAGCGAGGCGAAAAATATCGGTAGGGGGCACTAGGGGGTCTGGGATAAATGGTGTAAAATCCTGCATTCTGGTCATTTCCAGAGAGCTTTAAATTGACATCGTGGCATAGATTGAAGATGTCACGGTTTGATTTCAAACCGTTTCATTGCGAACGGAGCTAAATATCAATTTTCAGCTTTAAGCCTTTGAACAGGGTATATTGGGATCTACTTTGCCATTTCACCTTCAGAAATATCGGATAATCATAACTTTGTCATCTGAATTCACTGAGATATGGGCACCCCCTATATATGTCATTTTATGTTATTTTAGGAATATTATTTTAGTTTGTTCTTTTTGCCACATGCTACCTTATAATGTTATGGATACGGGAAATTGGATATAACTATATCGTTTTATGTTATTCTAGGAATATTGATTTCTTAGTTTTTTTTTATGGATATGGGGAAATGGACTGGAGTTTTTCGCCGTTTACATGTAGGTCCATGATTTCAAATTATTTCTGGAAATAGTCAGTGGTAAGAAATTTTAGATCGACAATCGAATAATAAGGTGGTCCGATCCCGAAATCCCGAATTGAAAGACGCGTCACTCAATAATCTAAAAATTGGGTTACGGGATGTTGTTTCAAATTTTAAGAACGAATAAAGTTGGGGAAATGAATACTCAGACAGGACTGCTCCAGTGCGATGCACCAGTACTTAATTTGTCAGTCTATTGAGTTTTTGGATTAGTTCTAATGAAAATATATTCAGTACTGGAACTCTTAACACCTGTTGTGATCACAAATGACATCCTAATGACATCCTTTAGTCTACTAAAATTATTCCTTTCTGACCTTCAGTATCGCTTTTCACCCCCCAGTTTTTGGTGGGGTTCGTGTTGATCAGTCTTTAGTTTTAAATGTTGTGTTTTGTGTACTATTGTTTGTCTGTTGGTCTTTTTCTTTTTTAGCCATGGCGTTTATTTTCGACTTATGAGCTTGAATGTCCCTCTGGTATCTTTCACCACTCTTTTTCCTTTTTCTGCAAGAGCTTGTTTTTGACCAGAGATCAGTGATGATTACCGGTTATTAGGTTAATGTAATCGAGAAACATCAAGTGGTGACTAAGATGCTGAGTTATATCCGGGAAGAATAATTCAAAAGGAACGATGTCAAGTTATAGAAAATAAGGTTGAGACAGAAAAAACAAATGACTATATTTCGTATATAATTACCATATACAAAAAAAAAAATAAAAAATTTCAGTGTCGAAATTTTAGTGAGGCAATTGCCTCACTTGCCTCAATGGTAGTTACGGCCTTGCCCTAATCAAATGGCAAAATCAAAAGCTCAAACACATCAAACGAATGGATAACAACTGTCATATTCCTGACTTTGTACAGGCATTTTCTTATGTAGAAAATGGTGAAATGAACCTGGTTTTATAGCTAGCTAAACCAATCGATCAAGCGATGGAGGAGGATTTTCGATATGAGACATTTTTTTAACTGTTTATACCATGTATATATCCCTTTAGCACTTGTTTGCCCCTTTTTTTATACGCCCGTTTACGGGACGTATTATGGTATACCGTTGTCCGTCCGTCTGTCCGTCCTTCGTCCACATGTCGTACAATAACTCAAAAACGCTTTTACTAATTTGCATGAAACTTTGGTGAATTGTTTATATCTATTGAAGTGAGTTCCCTATCGTTTTTTATAAATTTTACATTTTACGTTTCGGAGTTATGGGGTGTTATTCATTAAAAAGGGTGATTTTCCAGTTTTCGGACAATAACTCAAAAATGCTTTAAGCAGTTTTCATGAAACTTAGGTGAATTGTTAATATCTGTTGACGTGAGCTGCCTTTCGATTTTCATAAGTTTTAGATTTTACGTTTCCGAGTTATAGGGTTTAATTAATTGAAAAAAGGGGATTTTCCAGTTTTCAGACAATAACTTAAAAATGCTTTAAGCTGTTTTCATGAAACTTTGATGAATTATTTATATCTATTGAAATGAGCTGCCTTTCGATTTATATAAATTTTAGATTTTACCTCCGAGTTATGGGGTTTTATTCATTAAAAAAGGGGGATTTTCCTGTTTTCGGACAATAACTCAAAAGTGCTTTGAGCCGTTTTCATGAAACTTTGATGACTGCTTTATTTCTATTGATGTGAGCTCCCTTTCGTTCTTTTATAAATTTCTGACATTTAGGAGTTATGGAACTTAATTCTTTGAAAAAGCGACGGGCGTATCGTGTGCTCATGGCGCAGCTGTTTATTAAATATGGTAAATTATTTTCTCCTGACATTGACAACAATCGATGTGTAATTTAAACAATGAAAAGCAAAATGATCCCTATTTGCAGATGTTATTAAATAGGGCAACTTCAATAAAAGACTGGTTGCTGACCAATATGATATTAATTGTAGTTAAAAATGACGACAAAAATTCCTTCACCTATAAACGACTAATCTGTTATATTTTTGACATATAAATGTTGATTCATAAATTAACATATTGCTTTTAGCGCAATTTTATCAATTTTGAGAGATTTTTTCAGAATTGCAATTTTCGTGTAAATAATATTGCGCAATTAACATTTTAATGTGCATTTGATTTGGAATTATGGTATTCCGTTCTATTATGTTCATATATTTTTTAGAAAAAAGTATCATACAAGAACCAGCAATGGACATTTTGTTTAATTCTTGCGAAATTTATGAATGTAGATGTTTGACCTTTGAGCTTGATGTAACGAAAATTGCACCATACGAATTATTGACGACCGGGGAAAACAGAAAGTATAGATACTAAGCTTTCTAATGATACATGTATATGATATAGCCGTATGTTAGGTGGGTGCATTTAAGTCGTTCACTAAGCGTCTTTTTCGAAAAATGTCATTCGCCTATTACAACTTTTCTATATACACTCAGCACCATCGTATGTCATTTACACATATTAATTGTTGAGAGACACTCTTGCATGTTCAAACTGTACGGACTTCAATATCAGGGTTTGATCGAGCAGGACTATAGAGAAGAACAACCGAAATCAATTCTACATAAGGAATCGATACGATGTGTCAAACACAAGCGACATGTTTTAGCGTTCTTAGTTCCTTTGATTTTAGAACAGTTTTTTATCTAGAATTTTACAGTTTGTGTCCTGTTGAAAGTTATTTTACTATTATAAACCCAAAGTAAAACATCAATATTTTTCGGAATAGGATTAAAAGTGTTTACGGTTTAGGGTAAAACGTTTCAGTTATCTCTTTTTTTATGAAATGCACTTTTTTAATTACTTTCTCAATTTTACATATCTTCGTTTCATATTTGACTATTTTTTTTCAATTGGGGTCGAAGTTGCAGTCTATCGATTGTCAGCTAGTCGGAGGTTAACGGCGTACATGTGTTTGGCTAAAGTCACTGAGGAATTAGTTAAATCTTAATCATACACTCATAAAATTGATATACAGTGCAAGTGGTCTCCTCAAATGAGCATATACAGAGCCTCTGTAGTATCTGTTTTCACATCGTCTTTATCTTGTGACTAGTTGTCTTTCAATTAATAGACTGTTTAAAAACCAAAAATATTTTAATGAAGACATCTTTTTGTTTTCTCTGCACACCCGTTCATTCGATTGTTTATGCAACTTACTCGTGCAATATATTTTTTGTGTAGTAGGAATGACTTGTTTATCATTTGTTTGACTTTTATATTGTCCCCAAACGGAATGATTGAAAGTACACGGTCCAAAAATTAATGTAATATGTTTCTTTCAGAGCAATTTTCGTTCCTTGTTACTAAAAGATGTGCAGAACATTTGCTTGCAGGCCGAAAGTTATCGATGGGAGTTTCATCAATTAAAATACAGCTATAATTGAGAAAACTCTTTATTTGACATTAAAGGTATGAATAACGAATTGTCAAGTCATCCTTGTCTTAATTTTTGGATGGAATATGTAAAAGCAATTGGTAAAAGCTCAAACTTTATTTAATGATGTTCGGAGAGACAGACAGGGTCACGGCAGCCATAAAAAACATCAAGAAAAAGAATGTGTCCATAGTACACGAATGCCCCACTCGCTTTATCATTTTCTATGTTCAGTGGACCGTGAAATTGGGATCAAAACTCTAAATTTGGCATTAAAATTAGAAAGATCATATCATAGGAAATATGTGTACTAAGTTTCAGATTGACTGAACTTCAACTTCATCAAAAACTACCTTGATAAAAAATTTTAACCCGAAGCAGGACAGATGGACGAACGGACGGACGAACGAACGGACGTACGAACGAAAAGACGGACGAACGAACGGACGAACAAACGAACGAACGGAAGCACTGACCGAAAAACATAATGCCCATAGATGGGACATAAAAATATTGGCTTTTCATTGATACATATAGTTTTTGACAAATTATACATTCATTCTAAGCAAGCTTTAGTTGAAGAATTTCATTCCAGAGTAGAAAATCAAATCTGTTTTGAGACGACAAGGCCAAAGCTTAAATAATAATAAAAGAAAGTGGCCTTATCAATGATTTTGGTTTTTGTGATCCTTGCTTTGAATTTCATTGACGTATACACCACATGTTGTGTGTTCATGTGCAATTAGTTTCATGTTGTATAAAAAAATACTGCTTCTATTCACCAATAACTACTCTTAATTAAGTTATCATAACTTACATGTAATGTACTATCAGCCTTCTGGCATTTCGATGGCCTTCACAGTAGGTCATGTTTCGTACTTTTATTCTCATTTTATCACTTTCGGTACAAGTTCTGCATCTTATCAGAAAATGTAATTGTATACACCTATACTGTATTCTTATACTATTGGTTACTCATTTACGTATCAAGTAACCTTTTCACTGATCTTGTTTACTTAATTGAGGATGTTTTTAAATCGTCGACCCATGTAAATATAAAAGATTGATACATATGCGGATGGTGGTCTCCAGAACTTATAAATCCCCAGTAAAAGTAACGTTTCAGTGGTAGATAATCAAAGTAAAACTTCTCATGTTGCTCTTTAGTAGGAATTTCTTTGATAGCTTTTAGCAAGTACATTCAATGCCTGATATCGATACTTTTGTACAACCAGTAAGGAAAGAATATATGGGGAGCTGTTTACATAAAAAGGTCTTCAATCGTTAATAATGTGAATTACCAGTACGCTGTGAATACATCATGTTTACCAGTTATATGATTATGCTCATCTTATGACTCCATATATTTTTATATTTTTAGCCGATGCAAATATGAACACAAATAGAAAGATCAACATAAACATCAAGAAATCCGTCAGGAAAATCATGCGATGAACATTAATTGTTGGTTTTATTTCGAGACTAATGTGTTCTCTCATTATGTTTCAACATATTCAAGATATAATCATTAAATAGGATCTTCGATGTTGGAGCCATTGACTTTTGTTTGTCTGTACAATATGTCTATTTGTTGACAGTTTGTTTAATCTATCGCACGCTTGCAATATGATTTAATACATTTGCTAAGGATCATTCGAAAATCTGTTTAGTATATTAAGAAAGTATTGCATTTTTTTTCCAGAGTATTGTCCTTTTTATCTCTAATCATAAATTACTTTATGCAATTTTTAAACCGATAACGCAGCATAATTTTGAGAAAACAGATCACTAGCAATGAGTCAAATAACAGTCTTCAGATGGTCACAAGACAATAAAGTCATACATCATTCATAATATATCTGATGCATATTGGACTTTTAATATAATGTGCATTGTAAAGATTGTTCTCAATCTTAATTTCAACTATAGTTTTTAGATATTCAATATATGCAAAAAACCTTTGCCAGTATTTTCTAACAAAATAATAACTAAAATCTTCAGGAAATAGAAATTATATTATTATTAAATCAATACAATAAAAAGAAGTACAATAGATATGCTTCAATGGTTTTTTGGTATATGTGTTTTTATGTCAAAATATTTACCTATATTCTCTGATGCACAGTTCGAACTCGTTTTGACAGTTCGAAATCCCCTTTTTATACAACCAAGCACACTTACGATTGCGTATGAGAAAATAGGTCGCTAACGTTTAAAATTAATCATGTGTATCACTGTCAATACGTACAAAAATATTGGATCAGATAGAAAACAAGCACGATTTCATCCGTCTTATCACCGATTCAGCAATATAAAACAGGTAAATAGCGAAGGATTAAATAAAAGTATGAAAAACAAAAGTTGTTATGCGTAGTCCACAAGTTGGCGGAACTTCGTAACGCTAAATCGGCAACTGTCAAATTTGCCTGGCACGACGTTACGTTCACACAGAGATCTCCACGCATAAGTTAACGTTCCCAACATACATATTCAAGCCTTCAAAAAACTTGCATGCTCTGTAGACATCTGTTGCTTTAATTGCAATACTCATAGAAGAAGGCCTTAAAATAATACTGAACGAATAACAATGAGATGAAGAACAACGATCAAGAGTTGTTGTTGTATTTTCTTAACTATGTCGAAGTCCTTCCTTTAATCACAAAGTGATTAAAAATTGTTATAGAGTTGTCTTTCTCTGTCTGTTGTTTATTGTAATTCACAAATACCAAGATAAAAATACTACAGACTTTCTGTATTTTATACTCATTTGTGTAGAGGTTCCATCCTGTTTTTCATTTATAACCTTTACCACTTTTACAAAAAAACAATCATTCTAATAAAACATACATTTTATTACACCAACTAGTATTTACATTTTCATGACTAGAATATACATTTTTACTTTGTGGCATTACTTTGGCTACAGAGTATTCTATAATATTTTGTTGAGGCGCCAGGGTGACTACCGATTACCTATACACAATGGCTATCAGCTGACCTATGTTGACATAGTGTCATTAAAACCCCTGGTAGTTAAACACGGTTACACCACCACCTACCATGGGGAGTGACCGGGGAAAACACTCGTATTACCAATGCTCCAGTTATTAGTGCCCCACCGGTTGGCAGGTGTTAGCCTCCCCGCTATAAGATGAGGTGGAGGAGGTCCCAGAGTTACCCATCTGTAGATCCCACCGTTACCACTAACCACATTTTCCAAACCTGCAAATTGTAGAACTTGTCAGGCCCAGACCAAGGGCCGAGTGAAATAATCCCCCAATCACTACCAGTCTCCCTGGACCTCCCCCTTTCAAAATTGACTCTGCGCCTAAGGATGGTATGAGAAAATTAATTTCTTTAAAATGTCTAGTTTTCTTCCTAATTAATAAAATTGTTAATTAATATAAAATTTAATTTTTGTTAGCTTCTTAAATCACAATAGTCCATATTTAAATAAAGTGCTTAATAAAGGAAATGTCCAAATCAAAGAAACGCAAAATTTACTCCAAACTATCCTGTATTGGTCCAATACCATGGAGGAACTGCATGGATACTGGGGACCATAATATTGCAACAAAATACACCAAACTAGTGCCTGAAAATATAAAACAAAAACAGCAGCAACTATTCTCGTTTGGGAGGGTGGGCGGGTTTTAAATAATTAAACTATTTTCTGCAGCACCTGCTTTGTTGTCGACAGCAAATTAACAAGTGCCCGATACGGGAATTCCAAAATTCAAATTCTACGTGAGAGCGCCATCTATGGCCATGCCATATATGGCAATGAGCTAAAGGCTGCAACATCCACACAGGCACATCCCACACAAATATTTGATTGAATTAAACCAGATTATTGAAAATATAAAATTTTGATAGTCTCTATTAATTGCAATACTCATAGCAGAAGGCCTTAAAATAATACTGAACGAATAACAATGAGATAAAGAACAACGATCAAGAGTTGTTGTTGTATTTTCTTAACTATGTTGAAGTCCTTCCTTTAATCACAAAGTGATTAAAATTGTTATAGAGTTGTCTTTCTTTGTCTGTTGTTTATTGTTATTGTCAAATACCAAGATTAAAATACTACAGACTTTCTGTATTTTATACTCATTTGTGTAGAGGTTCCATCCTCTGTTTTTCATTTATAACCTTTACCACTTATACAAAAACAATCATTCTAATTAAACATACATTTTATTACACCAACTTGTATTTACATTTTCATGACTAGATTATACGTTTTTACTTTGTGGCATTACTTTGGCTACAGAGTATTCTATAATATTTGATTGAGGCGCCAGGGTGACTACCGATTATCTATACACAATGGCTATCAGCTGACCTATGTTGACATAGTGTCATAAAAACCCCTGGTAGTTAAACACGGTTACACCACCACCTAACATTGGGAGTGACCGGGGAAAACACTCGTATTACCAATGCTCCAGTTATTAGTGCCCCACCTGTTGGCAGGTGTTGGCCTCCCCTCTATAAGATGAGGTGGAGGAGGTCTCAGAGTTACCCATCTGTAGATCCCACCGTTACCACTAACCACATTTTCCAAACCTGCAAATTGTAGAACTAGTCAGGCCCAGAGCAAGGGCCGAGTGAAATAATCCCCCAATCACTACCAGTCTCCCTTGACCGCCACATGAGAGCCCAAGTCAGCTACCAAATCTGACTTGAGTTCTCACCTCCACAAAATTTTCATAATTGAAGCATTGGAAAAGTTGATTTTGTTGTGCGTAGAAAAGACTCAAGCCCTCCTTGTATATTATTTAAGAAAACCTGATTTCCAGTTTGTAAAAAATGAGTTCCATCTGTTCTTTATAAAGACACTTCACTTGCCCTAATATTCTTATGTAAAATAGCTTTTCCCCCATTTTCTATTACAAAGTTTTTGACCACTGAATTCAATCTTTTTCTCTTCTTTTCGATTATTGGACCCGCATTTAAGGGTACAAAATGCCAGTATCTGCGCTGTAGCATTAAAGACCATGTTATAATAACATTTTTGAATAAAGCCTGGTATACGTAACGTAGGATAGAACATTTTACATTTTCAATTAAACCCTTCCCTGTCAATTCTAAATCTGTCAAATCTTTAGCTCCACAGTGAATAATAATAAAATTAGGAGAAGGTAAAAATTTTCTTTTTGCATCCAGTAGGGAGTCAAAATCTTTAAACTGTAAACCAGGTTGCCCAATCCAGTATGCTGAAACTACTTTGGACTCAAGTCCAAGGTTGGTCCTACCATATTTCTTTGCCTCTACATTGGCCCAATGAACAAGGGAACTTTCAACAATCCATAAAATCTTGGGACCTGTGAAAAATTGAAGCTTGTTAGCGTTTTGTAACTAGAAAAATTGCAACCTAATATAGCGAGAATAAGCATGCGATTTCCATCTGCCTAATTTCATAATTACCTCCTCTGAGACCCCCTGCCTGGTTAGTTCAGTGGCTCCCCAAATTCTAAAACTATGTGACCTAAAATTACCTTTACTGATATGAAGAAAATGGAAAGCCTTTTCCAGTATACTGCTGAATTGGTATCTAGTTAAAGGCATACCATTATAATGTATAAACAAATCGTTATTGTTACAGGTAGGTCGTACCTTTTTAGTATTCGTTAATGAGTCATATCGGACAGTAGTTTTTTCTGTTCCCATGTATCAATAAAGTAACGGACTTTCCCTTTTGGTCAGTTTTTGACCACCTTACTCTTAGCTCCAGGACTTTTTTCTTAACTAAAATATCAGCAATTGTTAAGTTGGAGCCATTTATAACAGATTTAGTTTTTAAATTAGTGATTTCCCCTACCCTTAGCAAACCAAAGAAGGCAACTGAAAAAACTGTTTAAAATAAAGCAGCTTCAAATTTATTCTTACAAACTTTATCTAAACAACGTATCATATCTGATAATAATTGCACTGTAATTGGTGCTCTAATGTCATTACGTTTCCCTCCTTTAATTCTTTTTATTCCTTCTAATGACTTGCCAATTATAAAGAATTTTGTAGTATCCTGTATGCCTTGTATTTTATGATATTAAACTCCTGATATATAAGATGATATGGTACCCCCAGAAAGACCTTGTACTGACAAAAAAGCTATAAAATTTAGCAAATCATTGACTGGCACTGGCCAATGCTGTTTCAATTTGTAAGATGATCTAAAATTACAAAGTTTTGACAGAGCCAAATTGTATGATTTATGTGTATTTTTGGACACACCTTGATTGACAATATAATCCGCCACCTGACTTAAAAGGTTCCAGATCTGTGTTGTAATTTTGGTTGGCCACTGGTCTGCTTCTGGAGCTAGGCTTCTGAACTTCCCCCACTGAGAACGAGAAAGACAATCAGCAATTTTGTTTTGTTTTGAAGGGATATACATTGCCTTAACTGACGTATTGTTTTTTAAATTCATTAAAACCATTTGTCTTACTAAAATCATAACTCTTCTTGATTTGCTAGTTTTCATATTAATGATTTGAACAACCGCCTGATTATCAACATGACAAATAACTTTTTTGTTAACAAAATATTATTCCCAGGACATAAGTGCTCCTACAACTGGAAACAACTCTAGCAATGTCATATCTCTGGTGATTCAAGTTTCAACCCAATGTTTTGGCCAAATGCCTTGGGCCCACCGACCTGCAAAATAGATCCCATACCCACCTTTGGACCTCCCTGCACGATCCGTGAACAACTCTAATTTTTCGTTTGAAATCCATACATTGTCGTTTATTACAGTGACACCATTGTATTGTTTTAAAAAGTCTAACCAAACTTCTAAATCTGCTTTCATCTGCTTGTTTTCTCGAATTTTGTAATATGATTTTCTTACCCCCATTGTTGAATTTATGAGTCTGCGGCAGAAGGTGCGGCCTGGAGCAACCACCTTGCAAACAAAATTCAGGAGCCCAAGAAGAGATTGCATGTCTTTAAGAGTTATTTTAGAACTGTCTAAGGTATCTTTGTGAGAGTTGTGAAAGTTTTTCATTTGGAAGCCGCATTATCAAGTTTTGCGTATCAAATTCTATACCCAAAAAAATG